ACCGGAGATGGGTACTGGGATCTTCTATCTTTGTTGATAGTTTCAGGAAGAAGAACAACGACAAGGATTAGTGACAGAAGCATTAGCGAAGTCGTAGTTATGGACGGGTAGAGGTAACCTAGGTATTTGATGAAGTATCCAGTAATAACTTCGGAAACTGCAGAAGCTACGTAGGTGGTGAAATCTAGCACAGCGATGCCAACTGTCCGTGAGTTCTTAGGTGGTGTATTGTCAGCCGTGTAGGCATAGGTAGCCAGAATCACACCATTATATCCTCCCGAAACACCTTCAATCACCTCGCTAACGTACAGGTATTTCAGATCTAGATTCCAGTAAATAACAAATATCGTCAATACATTCTTCAGAATCTGGCCGACTAAAGGTAATATGAAGAGAAATCGTCGACCAAGAAAATCAGAATACGCCCCCAAGAAGATACAGCTAATTAACGCTGTAGAGTTTCCGATAGCTGTGAGTATTGTCTGACAGTTGGAAGTAAGATCCTGAACCCTTTCCTGTAACAGGTATCCTGGATCCGACTCATTGACGTAACACTTGGATGTTTGATTAGCAGTACTGGCTGACTTTGTGCTGTTGCCGAACACCTCCTCGGAGTACCTCTGGTAAAGGTATTGTGTTAACACTGGATCATGGACATTGACAGACAGCTGGTAAACAAGAAACACAATGTTGGCCTTGAGTAGATTTCCTAGCTTAGACTTTTCTTCTTTAGCCTTGTTTTCAAGAAGCGGTGTGGACTCCATGTTTGTCTCGTGTTCAGCCAGGAGATTGTGGCCTACCTTGCGTCACCTGTCCCAGAAAACTGCCCTGATACATGCGCAGTGCATTTAATGGCGTAATCCTGATTGACGTAACATATATGATATGATGGCCATGTGATATACTGATACAGTGTACATGATAAACACGTAAGGGTAACGTGTTGCTGGCATATGCAATAAACAAATCTTATCTTGAGTATTAATTGTATAATGCCTTGTAATTTTGGTTTGTAACCTGAATATATTTCTAAGATATTCAGTATAATTGTGGTTTGCTGCTCATAATTAGCTAGAAATTATGTTTTGCTTTGTTTATCAACTAGGATTGTCTATCTGCTGATGGTCAGAGGGGTATCAATCTAGATGTAGTTGAGCTGTTCATCCTACTGTTTGCTGATGATATTGCGCTTTTTGACTTTACAGTTATAGATCTGCAAAAGAGGCTAGACAAGCTAGTTTCGTATTGTAACAAGTGGAAATTGAAAATAAATATTGATAAAAGTCAAGTTATTATATTTATGAAGGCTGGTCGACTAAGACATTAGGAAAATAGAAATATTATGGGACAACACTTTAGTGTTTCTCCTTACATTTCCCATTTATAAAACAAGTTCTTAATTAATTAAATAAGACAATGCCGAAGTCCTTATGTGCAAAGTGTGGTACCGCCTGGCCATTCCTGTTGGTGCAGGGGCCTTAACTTCCTCCATCAGTTGCGTATGAATCTCTTTGAATGTTGTGCATAGGATGGCTGGAACAGAATATGCAATATTAGCCTACTAAATACACCAAAACGTATACTGACTGACTGACTGACTGACTGAATGACTGCAATATTCCAGGACGGCGGGGAACAGAAATGGGCTGCAACATTTTACAATACGAGCCAACCTTAAACGCTAGGCTATACAGGGTAGGGTATGTGGCTCCAAAGCTCCACATCAAATCGCTTAAAAAGGCTGCAACATCGGCATCCTGATTCAAATGTACGTTCTTTCAGCATCCCCCCGAGAATCAGATCTTGTTTTATTCTCCTTTTCTGTTGTATATGTTGGTTAATATCGGATGGCTCACTATCCTGAAATGAGTAAGTGAGTATGGTTTTACGCCGCTTTTAGCATTATTCTAGCAATAGTCCGGCGGAGGACACCAAAGGGGTTTCACACATTGTACCCATGTGGGGAATCGAACCCAGGTCTTCGGCGTGACGAGCGATCGCTTTAACTACTAAGTTACCCCACCGCCCCTAGCCTGAAATAACTTGTGTGTGTCATCCGGTGGAGTTACACATTTCGTACACGTGAGATATTCCTAACAGAATAGGTAATACACAGGAAGAGCATGACGTCATAGTTTTGTCTTCAAAATTTGTTGATTTATTGCCACCATGTTTGTGAAAGTGAAAGTATCTCTGTTCAAGCAGACTGCTCATGCCTTTCCAGAAGCCATTGTAATCCTCATGCTATTGACATTGGGTTGGTTTGGATGATTCTCGTTCTCATTTTCCTAGTGTTATGATAGATAGAGTCTCTGTGTTACCTATGTCAAAATTATCATTTTTGCCTGTTTCAAGTTTTACAAGCATCTCCGATCCACACTAGACACACTCTATAGCCAACCTACAATTAAAACTGATACTCCCGAAAGCACCGATCATCCTTCCCTACAAATCTCATAATGGATTAAAACTTTAATGATAAATATATCAAACGTTTCCTGGCAGTTATGTTCATTTCAAGAGTAATAACTCAGTATCATCCTCGTTCCTTGACGACAACATCAACAACGGACGCCACTGTCACGGCGCCAACTACCGTCCAGGGAGACTGGACGGAAAATGATCCAGAATAGTAAGCAAATACATACACAACCCGATTGTTGGATACAACCATTTATTAAAGCTAAGTACCTGCTCAAGCATGAATGAGCTTGCACCCCAAGCACAACAACAGAGTCGCTAGAAACAAGCTAACTAGCTAAGTAAACTCGCCTTAATAGACTAGCTCAGGGATCAGACCATATATTGACTGGTGACACCTAATGAGTGGGGGATAATAAGAGGATGGCCTAAAAGTCGGGCCAAGAAAAGTCGGGTAATACTAAAAATGGATTGCAGAATATTAAAACGAAATCTGCACATTTGGGTAGATACACTTCCTGCCTTCACAAATGTATAGTTAACGATGAAAAACACACAACAACAATGACTACATACCGAGATTCCCATAGACAAGACACCGTCTTGTTGTTATGTGTTTTCCTTGATATGTCTATGTGGGAAGGTTGCTTACTTCTCTTGGCGTGTGACATCCTGGGGTCCTGGGCAGGAAGTGACAGTGTTTTGACTGCTTTTCTTTCCTTAATTAAGATATTGGGGTTCCCTAATTAACCTTTATTGTCTCATGCTGAATCAGCACAGGATGTTTATGTTAAAGAGAAGTGGATATTGGCGAGTGTCAATGGGCAAATATGACATGATTACGTATATTAAAAGAAATATTTTACATCTCAACCTTTTGTCATATTTTATGAAGGATCAAACAAGGTATGCATTCACACACACAAAATTCTTAAGTGTTTTCATTGTAAACAATACCAGCCCAAATCAGTTAGCCAGCGCGTATGCATATGCTTATAAATACTAATACACATGAAACACAAAATGTTATCATATCTACCTAAATACCGCTTCATAAAGTAAAGTAAAATTGAAGCCCCTTTCTCTCTCCATTCCCAACGATTTTAGGAAAAAAAGTCCTCGGAAAACAAAATCCTCAATCAAAAGTGTTTAGTCTCTGTTCGGCCCGACTTGGCCCGTGCTGTCAAAAACAACTTAAACCTCACACATGTATCTTGAAATGTGTTTATATCCATAGATTAGTATTATATCTACCTACATATCACTTCACAGAGTCTCAAAGTGTAGTATTTGAAGTGAAAACGTTGCTGAAAGTGAAGCTCTCTTTTCTATATATTCTCAACAAAGACACTGTATCACAAGCGTGGCCCGGGCTAAACCCCACCCATGTATTCTGATTTGTGTTTAAATCCATAGAATAGAATTATATCTACCTAAATATCAATGTGTGATGTTACAAAATGCCACATGTAAAGATAACTGGTTCGTTTAAGTGAAGCCCTTTTCTCTCTCCATTCACAACATAGCCTCAATCAAAAGTGTTAGTCTCTGTTCAGCCCGACTTGGCCCGTGCTGTCAAAAACGGTTTATGCCCGGACTGTCGACAACAAGAAATAATCCGTCCAAATTACTTGTCGACAGTCCGGGAAAAGGGAGGTGATGTTCTACATGAGTGACTTCACTCCCAGTGTCATCGAAATTAACAAACCAATTAAAACAGAGTGTGATATATATAGTAGACAACATAGTTATTCAGTCAATATAACAACATGCATGTATCATATGTCACACAATATAACATATTTGTATATATATTTCATAAAGCTCACACAATATATTTTGTGTGTGTGTTTTATATAAACAAGTGATTTCTGCAGGTGTATAAGTAATAAATATATAAAAGATGAGTCCAGTTATTTCTTCTTGCCAAAACTCCTTTATATATGGACAGGTTGCATCTGTACATCTCCAGTATGTTTTTTGAGCTCTGCGTCTGTTGACTCTGTACTTGAATCCATTGTGGTAAAGATTCTGACCTCTATGAATTTTGTCAATCAATGTAACGCGCACCATAGCGTTTGCCATTTTGACATGGGTAACAAAATATTCATGATCTATTATATATACCCAAATGCTAAATGTTTACAACAGCATTTCGATAATCCTTCTACTCCCAATATCACAAAATAATTTGTAAGCTGTTTCTTTCCGGATGTTGTTGCATGTTAAACTCCAAAATGGTAATCCTTCCACTCGCATAACGTAAAATAATAGTCTGTTTTTGCAACCTTAATTCTCTTGCAAATTGTTAAAAAGACATTCTTTTTAATCAACTTAATTCATTTACTCATGATACGAGCATAGCTGTAGCCGCCATAGCCACTTGCAAACCGCTAAGCAAACATTCTCTTTCATTAATTAACACCGTCACGGTATGTTGACCACGCGATGTCGACACTCCGGGTTTTGTTTTGTCGACGGTTAGCAAAATCCTATTTTTCATTTGTCGACAGATCGGGCTGACACCCTAAAAAACAACAACCCAGTGTTCAGTCTAGCTCTGTGCGGGCTAATGAAATTAATACACCTGTTAATTACACCTGTATCCAGCTTGCTTAATTGCCCCTTGTCTAATTGCAATCAGCTAGGTGTTGTGATTCAATTAACACACTCCATTGTTGCCCTTAATTACCTGTCAGAGGCCTTCCGTGTTATTGATTACTCCACCGTAACTACCGCCACTTACAGGGAGAGTATCGGGCCAATAAACATTTAACACCCAAAGTGATCAATAGGACAAACAGACCAGAACAAGATGTACCATCACAAAAACCAGTCTTGAGCTCCCATGTTCGGTCCCCACGATGCGGCAATTGACAACTGGTAGTAGGCCGACATGCACACAGCAGTCTAACTTTCCCCAGGTGTGTCGGATAACTGGCCAGGTCCAGCTATAACGTAACCGCGTGGACGTCGCAGAGGACATACCTCACGCGAGGGTGAAGGTTGGCACCTAGACTCTGTCCAACAAAGAAGTGTGCTAATACTTGGGTACATAAACGACCATAACTCACTTGTAAGCGTATGTACAGTGAAGGGGAATACATGTATAAGAAGAGCGTTAGCTCTACTACAATTAGATATAGGTGGATATTGAGACAATAGTTTGTACAATTTTGTAGTTAACAAAAACCCTGATCAAATAAGGGGTATACATAAAGGTGGGAGCGGTATAAAGCTTATATCTCCCTTATAAAATCAGAAACAGTGACGGGAGTCACATATACAAAATACTAGTAAACTCCTCTACAAGAGGGTACAATGCATAACAAGCGAAAAGTAGCAACAGGGGACCCACGGCTCAACTAGATTAGCTGAATATACAAATGCGCAGGCACTTACGGCCATGTTGCATAACACACACGCGAGTCGCGTGACAGTCACATGGTCGTGTCGGTGACAGACTTGTGTTGGTAGATGATGAGGCCTGGCGTTCAGTCATTGAGGCCAACAGTGGAGGTATCAGTTACACTCCTGCGGCGGGAGATACACAAGAACACTCTGCAACACATGAATATGTATTTACTTAATATCTCATTTTTTTTTCATTTGCACGATGTGACATCTAACGGTTACCTCTTGCAAAAATCTCAGTGGGTACATACACTGACACTGTATGCGAGATGAGTGAGTGAGTGAGTTTAGTTTTACGGCGCACTCAGCAATATTCCAGCTATATGGCGGCGGTGTGTAAATAATCGAGTCTGGACCAGACAATCCAGTGATCAACAGCATGAGCATCGATCTGCGCAATTGGGAACCGATGACATGTGTCAACCAAGTCAGCGAGCCTGACCACCCGATCCCGTTAGTCGCCTTTTACGACAAGCATTGTCGCCTGTTATGACAAGAATGGGTTGCTGAAGACCTATTCTACCCCGGATCTTCACAGGTCGTATGCGAGATGAAGATGGTCCTTACCATTATTTGTCGAAATATACCAAATAAACATACTACACAAGCCTAATGCTGCCACTATTGTTGTTTCAGCGGAATTTCTCGTTACTTTTATCTATTTCTGGTTACTTCAAGTTTTGAATATTTTCTTGTCATTTCAAGTAACGTAAATACTGAAAATCTCGCAAAATGAACGAAATAACGAGAAAATACTAAAACATTTAAGAACACGGAGAAAATATTAGAAGCAGCGAGAAAATACACGGATTTTCAGGTTGTTGAAAGAAATTTGAAATAATCGAAGCAATGAGAAACTAATCAATGAGAAAATATGTATGCTGCAAAACTAGCAGCATTAGTCTTTCGTATACAATACAATCCTATCCATGAAATGTAAACATACAAAGATACTGAAATAGATAGGGAGACTATCTATTGGTCGGGTTATCTATGGACGTCCTGAATGTTCAATACTCGCAACAAGACCTGTACTCACACTATGATAACTGCACACAACAGTTGGCATCCCGCACCGGCGAAGAAAACAAATCCACGGAGCATCTTCACAGTGGCATTATACATCTCGTTGAAAATTATCATCCCAGTACCCGATGAGATGATGTTCACAAGTCCGATACTCGCAAACAGTGATCCTGAAATCAATGTTCACTGTTAGAGGAAGATAAGCTCACCTTATCGTTTACATGTTACCGTCGGGGTTGTGGGGTAGCCTAGTGGTTAAAGCGTTCGCTCGCCACGCCAAACACCCGGGTTCGAATCCCCACATGCGTACAATGTGTGAAGCCCATTTCTGGTGTCCCCGCCGTGATATTGCTGGAAAATTGCTAAAGTGGCGTAACCTTCACTCACTCACCACATGTTATCGTCACTATTTCATAGCGTTTCAGAAACACATGGTTTCATTATTGTAATGCATGTTTTGGAAAATACAATCAGCTTCTTATGCAGCAACTAATCTAGGATTTGTGTTTTGAATAGTTTCACCTGGAATGTCAAGTTGTTTACACTGTCTCTCCTTTACACTAATCGGTACACACATGTTAAACAAATGAGTTTAGAAAACATTTGTAATAAACAATACGTTTCTGTCTGCACTCTCATGCCTTTTCCACTTCTATTTGTCATGTATTTCCAGTTTCAGTTTGCAGGATTATTATATACCCATGTAAACTTAGGATAGTAACTCCGTATTGCAGCCAAGATTCCGTATTGAACCCCTGTTGGTTTTACATTGCTATGCTATGATTTCTTTTATTAAGTAACGCAAGATAAGGGGATATATAATAAATATGGAACGTCATACAAGTGCATTTGGATGTTTTGTATTGAACTCAAAGATGTCATTGGACATTCTATATATTTATTTTTATGGAAGTGCATATGTTTGTAATCACGGTTAATTGGAGACGTTGTGGCTTTCAGACCATGGAAATGGTTCATGGACACCTAAATGAGATAATAAAGTTATAGTCTGATGATCTGTAGATTTATTAAGTAAAGCTCCAGAAAAGGAACAGTTTACTTTATTTCCTATAAACCAGTTGAAGATTCTCGCTGTGTGCTGATCACATTGATGGTTATACCTTAGTCTGCCATACAGACCCTGAAACAAATATATGCAAGGAATCCCATGCAAGTCTAGAATATGTGGCAAGTCTTGATTACCATGGTTTCTGATAATGGAGAAAGCTTCAGGGCTCCTTTCTCTTATATGTTATGATTATTATTTATGAACCGTTTTTCTGTAAAATATGTTCATTTCAGAGAAGGGGCGGTGGGATAGTCTAGTGGTTGAATCGTTCGCTCGTCATGCTGAAGAACCGGGTTCAATTTCCCACATGGGAACAATGTGTGAAGCCCATTTCTGGTGTCAGAACGTTATGTTGCTGGAATATTGCAAAAAGCGGTGTAAAACCAAACTCACTCACTCATTTCAGAGACTAAAATGTTAGTCTAGTTATGCTTCTCAAAGACTAAAATGTTAGTCTAGTTAAGCCTCTCATACCAGCTTTGTACAAAAGATGAACGTGTGGCTCTCCTTTGCATTTTGGAAAGCATGTCACCACTGAGATAGGAAAGCTCACATCACCATTGACACGTTATCAAGTCTGTTTCATCATGGCCATGAGTTGAGGATATAATTAAGATCGTAAATAAATGTCTTGGAAACACCATCTTTCCAAAATTGGAAATGTCTTGGAAGCATCATCTTTCCAAGACATTTCCAAGCTTGTAAATGAAGGTTTCTCATAATTGTGAAAATTGCGTTATGTATGTAAATTTGATTACAACGTTCTCTTAATTATTATCATAGGCATTTCGCCCGATTGTTTAAATCTGTAATATCTATTTGAATATTGATATCATGGGACCCTCTATTGTTATGTCTCTGATTGCACTCGTGTCAATGTCCATCCATATCTATCTACGATGATCCATGTTTTCATTCTGTTTGCATGTCTGACATGTCCATCAAAATGTTAAACGTAGACTATTTGTTATTTTATGTTTATGGCTAAGTTTCCCTTCCATCACCAGCGGCTGAGGGGATGGTGTAAATCCAGCTAGGTCCCATGCAGGAAGCAATTGTACTGTAAGTCCCCATGGTCCCTAGTATGGTGATCTACCTTCAGTTGTTGGCGATCTATAGCCCGATTTTATATTGTGTTGTTTTGAAATGATTTAACATTTTACACTGAACTCAAACTAGTTTTAATCGATTTGTGACATTCTAGTCGTTATACTGTCCTTCGCTGGCAGGTTTTTAAATAAGTATACATATGTCTATTCTTAGTACATAACGTTTTGTCGTCACAATATGGCTGAAATATTGCCGATGTGACGTTAAATATTAACTCACTCACTCACTCATTCCATCAAAATATACCTGCATACTCACCCTGCATTTCAGGAGGGGCCATCCGTGACATGATAGCCCGCAGTGCTGGCAACAAAGGAGCTGCAATACCACTGGGCAAAACACCTGCAACAAAACAATCCACTTTACTCAACCGCAAAGACTAAACAGTATTAATATATACAAGTCTTCTGAAGATGTAGAATAACTTACACAGGAAGAGCATGACGTCAGTGTTGGCCACACCATTTAGGACGTAGGATACGGCCAGTATGACAGATGTTATGATACATAGTCCTGGGTCGGAGGTGCATAAATGAAGTAGTTTGATGACTGGAATCCCAAGAATTTGTCTGGAAAGGGCCAACGCCATATTGAAATAGCCGATGAGCTCTGGTCCCCAACAGAATGGCAGGTTCAGCTGGAAAAGATACTCCAGAAAAAAGACACCACTCAAACTAAAATATGTTATGAAATACGCTGTCAGCGAAAGCCAGAAAAGACTTCTTGTTTGTCCAAAATCTTTTGAAAAGTAGAATCCAAAAACATTTTTCACCGCCTTCACCGGAGATGGGTACTGGGATCTTCTATCTTTGTTGATAGTTTCAGGAAGAAGAACAACGACAAGAATTAGTGACAGAAGCATTAGCGAAGTCGTAGTTATGGACGGGTAGAGGTAACCTAGGTATTTGATGAAGTATCCAGTAATCACTTGGGAAACTGCGGCTGCTAGGTAGGTGGTGAAATCTAGCACAGCAATGCCAACTGTCCGTGAGTTCTTAGGTGGTGTGTTGTCAGCCGTGTAGGCATAGGTAGCCAGAATCACACCATTATATCCTCCCGAAACACCTTCAATCACCTCGCTAACGTACAGGTATTTCAGATCTAGATTCCAGTAAATAACAAATATCGTCAATACATTCTTCAGAATCTGGCCGACTAAAGGTAATATGAAGAGAAATCGTCGACCAAGAAAATCAGAATACGCCCCCAAGAACATACAGCTAATTAACGCTGTAGAGTTTCCGATAGCTGTGAGTATTGTCTGACAGTTGGAAGTAAGAACCTGAACCCTTTCCTGTAACAGGTATCCTGGATCCGACTCATTGACGTAACACTTGGACGTTTGATTAGCAGTACTGGCTGACTTTGTGCTGTTGCCGAACACCTCCTCGGAGTACCTCTGGTAAAGGTATTGTGTTAACACTGGATCATGGACATTGATAGACAGCTGGTAAACAAGAAACACAATGTTGGCCTTGAGTAGATTTCCTAGCTTAGACTTCTCTTCTTTAGCCTTGTTTTCAAGAAGCGGTGTGGACTCCATGTTTGTCTCGTGTTCAGCCAGGAGATTGTGGCCTACTTTGCGTCACCTGTCCCAGTAAAATAAAATGATACATGCGCAGTGCATTTAATGGCGTAATCCTGATTGACGTAACATATATGATATGATGGCCATGTGATATACTGATACAGTGTACATGATAAACACGTAAGGGTAACGTGTTGCTGGCATATGCAATGAACAAATCTTATCTTGAGTAATAATTGTAGAATGCCTTGTAATTTTGGTTTGTAACCTGAATATATTTCTAAGATATTCAGTATAATTGTGGTTTGCTGCTCATAATTAGATAGAAATTATGTTTTGCTTTGTTTATCAACTAGGATTGTCTATCTGCTGATGGTCAGAGGGGTATCAATCTAGACTTAGTTGAGCTGTTCATCCTATTGTTTGCTGATGATATTGCTCTTTTTGACTTTACAGTTATAAGTCTGCAAAAGAGGCTAGACAAGCTAGTTTCGTATTGTAACAAGTGGAAATTGAAAATAAATATTGATAAAAGTAAAGTTGTTGTATTTATGAAGGCTGGTCGACTAAGATATTAGGAAAATAGAAATATTATGGGACAACACTTTAGTGTTTCTCCTTACATTTCCCATTTATAAAACAAGTTCTTAATTAATTAAATAAGACAATGCCGAAGTCCTTATGTGCAAAGTGTGGTACCGCCTGGCCATTCCTGTTGGTGCAGGGGCCCTGAACTTCCTCCATCAGTTGCGTATGAATCTCTTTGAATGTTGTGCATAGGATGGCTGGAACACAATATGCAATATTATCCTACTAAATACACCAAAATCCGTATTATATAACTTTTACTGACTGACTGACTGACTGAGTTTAGTTTTACGCCGCTTTTAGCAATATTCCAGCAATATCACGGCGGGGGACACCGGAAATGGGCTTAACACATTGTGCCCAATATAACTTTTAATTATTGTTATTCATAATACATGTACATGCAATTTTTAAAGAATTTTAGTCTCTCATAATTCCGTATGGAATGGCCCTTATGTAAATATATGTTTAATTAGTTTGTATATATGTATAACAGGGGTAACTTTAATAAATAATCTGTCTGTCTGTCTGTTCGTATACAGGGTAGGGTATGTGACTCCAAAGCTCCACATCGAATCGCTTATGTAATGTACAGGGTAATCGATAATAATTACCCTATATAGATATCTTTACTACTTATGACGTATTTTGGGTATACTTATTCCCGCGGTATCAGTTACACTGTCCATGTAGTGTTGTTCCGTGCCAGTGCACTGCAACATATAGTTTACCGTGATCTTTAGATTACGAGAGCTCATACCGTTGGAATTAGTATGTAAAACAGATCCAAGCCTTCTCTTCACCTCGTTCCATCAGTCTACCTGATGTGGCGTAATGTATGTAGCGACTTTGGTGTTGACTTGTGCTGCCTCAGGTAAGCTACGTCTCGACATGGGCGCCGCCATGTTGTGACGTCATAGCGAGGTGTTTTAGAAGGTTTCGTATCTAGGATTTTACGTCACAATAGAAATAACGGAGATGAGAAATTTCTTCGATTAACGGTTGAAAGAGAGAGACGAATCACTGAGAGTTGGATGGTTGCATCTCCATTGTAGGGAAGAAAACCATGAATAACCTGTAAGTTTACACCCGGCTTGCCGGAGGCACTCTACTCAATGAAGCGCATGTAAAATCTTTCTACTGTTGTAACTATATATAATTGTACTGTACCTTATAACTTGTAGAGTAACGCTTTGGGCGACGTGATTGCATATTGTCTTTACTGTTAGAAGTTTGCTATTGTATATAATAAATTTTGCTGTTGGTAACTTTTAATGACTTGTGTAATCATTTACTAGATAAAACTGTTGTGTTGCCGTGACTGGAAGAGAGTGATCACATACCCACATTGTCGTAGTACATACCTCTCCAGCCACCCCGTCGACCATTACACTTACACATGCTGCAACACCGGCATCCTGATTCAAATGCACGTTCTTTCAGCATCCCCGTGAATCAGGATCTTGTTTTATTCTCCTTTTCTGTTGTATATGTTGGTTAATATCGGATGGCTCAATGTCCTGAAATGAGTGAGTGAGTATGGTTTTACGCCGCTTTTAGCAATATTCTAGCAATAGCCCGGCGGAGGACACCAAAAATGGGTTTCGACGTGACGAGCGATCGCTTTAACCACTAGGCTACCCCATCGCCCCTAGCCTGAAATCACTTGTGTGTGTCATCCGGTGGAGTTACACATTTCGCACACGTGAGATATTCCTAACAGAATAGGTAATACACAGGAAGAGCATGACGTCATAGTTTTGTCTTCAAAATTTGTTGATTTATTGCCACCATGTTTGTGAAAGTGAAAGTATCTCTGTTCAAGCAGACTGCTCATGCCTTTCCAGAAGCCATTGTAATCCTCATGCTATTGACATTGAGTTGGTTTGGATGATTCTCTTTCTCATTTTCCTAGAGTTATGATAGATAGAGTCTCTGTGTTACCTATGTCAAAATTATCATTTTTGCCTGTTTCAAGTTTTACAAGCATCTCCGATCCACACTAGACACACTCTATAGCCAAACTACAATTAAAACTGATACTCCCGAAAGCACCGATCATCCTTCCCTACAAATCTCATAATGGATTAAAGCTTTGATGATAAATATATAAAACGTTTCCTGGCAGTTATGTTCATTTCAAGAGTAATAACTCAGTATCATCCTCGTTCCTTGACGACAACATCAACAACGGACGCCACTGTCACGGCGCCAACTACCGTCCAGGGAGACTGGACGGAAAATGATCCAGAATAGTAAGCAAATACACAACCCGATTGTTGGATACAACCATTTATTAAAGCTAAGTACCTGCTCAAGCATGAATGAGCTTGCACCTCAATCACAACAACAGAGCCGCTAGAAACAAGCTAACTAGCTAAGTAAACTCGCCTTAATAGACTAGCTCAGGGATCAGACCATATATTGACTGGTGACACCTAATGAGTGGGGGATAATAAGAGGATGGCCTAAAAGTCGGGCCAAGAAAAGTCGGGCCGGGCCCGGCCACCGGGTAATACTAAGAATGGATTGCAGAATATTAAAACGAAATCTGCACATTTGGGTAGATACACTTCCTGCCTTCACAAATGCATAGTTTGATTGAAATGTATGGTTAACGATGAAAAAACACACAACAACAATGACTACATACCGAGATTCCCATAGAAAAGACACCGTCTTGTTGTTATGTGTTTTCCTTGATATGTCTATGTGGGAAGGTTGCTTACTTCTCTTGGCGTGTGACATCCTGGGGTCCTGGGCAGGAAGTGACAGTGTTTTGACTGCTTTTCTTTCCTTAATTAAGATATTGGGGTTCCCTAATTAACCTTTATTGTCTCATGCTGAATCAGCACAGGATGTTTATGTTAAAGAGAAGTGGATATTGGCGAGTGTCAATGGGCAAATATGACATGGTTATGTATATTAAAAGAAATCTTTTACATCACAACCTTTTGTAATATGTTATAAAGGATCAAACAAGGTATGCATTCACACACAAAAAATTCTTAAGTGTTTTCATTGTAAACAATACCAGCCCAAATCAAATAGCCAGCGCGTATGCATATGCTTATATTTACTAATACACATGAAACACAAAATGGTATCATATCTACCTAAATACCACTTCATAAAGTAAAGTAAAATTGAAGCCCTTTTCTCTCTCCATTCCCAACGATTTTAGGAAAAAAAGTCCTCGGAAAACAAAATCCTCAATCAAAAGTGTTTAGTCTCTGTTCGGCCCGACTTGGCCCGTGCTGTCAAAAACAACTTAAACCTCACACATGTATCTTGAAATGTGTTTATATCCATAGATTAGTATTATATCTACCTACATATCACTTCACAGAGTCTCAAAGCGTAGTATTTGAAGCGAAAACGTTGTTGAAAGTGAAGCTCTCTTTTCTATATATTCTCAACAAAGACACTGTATCACAAGCGTTCGGTCCGCCTTGGCCCGGGCTAAACCCCACACATGTATTCTGATTTGTGTTTAAATCCATAGATTAGAATTATATCTACCTAAATATCAATGTGTGATGTTACAAAATGCCACATGTAAAGATAACTGGTTCGTTTAAGTGAAGCCCTTTTCTCTCTCCATTCACAACATAGCCTCAATAAAAGTGTTAGTCTCTGTTCGGCCCGACTTGGCCCGTGCTGTCAAAAACAACTTAAACCTCACACATGTATCTTGAAATGTGTTTATATCCATAGATTAGTATTATATCTACCTACATATCACTTCACAGAGTCTCAAAGTGTAGTATTTGAAGTGAAAACGTTGCTGAAAGTGAAGCTCTCTTTTCTATATATTCTCAACAAAGACACTGTATCACAAGCGTTCGGTCCGCCTTGGCCCGGGCTAAACCCCACACATGTATCATTATTTGTGTTTAAATCCATTGATTAGTATTATATCTACCTAAATATCACTTTGTAATGTTATCAAATGCCACTTGTAAAGACAACTGGTTCGTTAAAGTGAAGCCATTTTCTCTCTCTCTCCATTCACAACATAGCCTCAATCAAAAGTGTTAGTCTCAGTTCAGCCCGACTTGGCCCGTGCTGCCAAAAACAACAACCCAGCGTTCAGTCTAGCTTTGTGCGGGCTAATGAAATTAATACACCTGTATCCAGCTTGCTTAATTGCCCCTTGTCTAATTGCAATCAGCTAGGTGTTGTGATTCAATTAACACACTCCATTGTTGCCCTTAATTCCCTGTCAGAGGCCTTCCGTGTTATTGATTTCTCCACCGTAACTACCGCCACTTACAGGGAGAGTATCGGTCCAATAAACATTTAACACCCAAAGTGATCAAAAGGACAAACAGACGAGAACAAGATATACCATCACCAAAGCCAGTCTTGAGCTCCCATGTTCGGTCCCCACGATGCGGCAATTGACAACTGGTAGTAGGCCGACATGCACAAAGCAGTCTAACTTTCCCAAGGTGTGTCGGATAACTGGCCACGTCCAGCTATAACGAGACCGCGCGGACGTCGCAGAGGACATACCTGACGCGAGGGTATATATATATATATATATATATTATATATATTCTTTATTTATCCTCCAAGTTGGGAGAGTACAAGTACAAGTTGCAAAAAGGCAATATTTACACCACAGTCACACAACTCTACTACAATCAGATATAGGTGGATATTGAGACAATAGTTTGTACAATTTTGTAGTTAACAAAAACCCTGATAAAATAAGGGGTATACATAAAGGTGGGAGCGGTATAAACGCTTATATCTCCCTTATAAAATCAGAAACAGTGACGGGAGTAACATATACAAAAAGCTAGTAAACTCCTCTACAAGAGGGTACAATGCATAACAAGCGAAAAGTAACAACAGGGGACGGACGGCTCAACTAGATTAGCTGAATATACAATTGTGCAGGCACTTACGGCCGTGTTGCATAACACCCCCCGGCACGCGAGTCGCGTGACAGCCACATGGTCGTGTCGGTGACAGACTTGTGTTGGTAGATGATGAGGCCTGGCGTTCAGTCATTGAGGCCAAAAGTGGAGGTATCAGTTACACTCCTGCGGCGGGAGATACACAAGAACACTCTGCAATACATAAATATGTATTTACTTAATATCTCATTTTTTTTCATTTGCACGATGTGACATCTAACAGTAACCTCTTGCAAACATCTCAGCTGGTACATACACTGACACTGTATGCGAGATGAAGATGGTCCTTACCATTTTTTGTGTGGAAATATACCAAATAAACATACTACACAAGCCTAATGCTGCCACTATTGTTGTTTCAGCGGAATTTCTCGTTACTTCTATCTATTTCTGGTTACTTCAAGTTTTGAATATTTTCTTGTCATTTCAAGTAACGTAAATACTGAAAATCTCGCAAAAATGAACGAAATAACGAGAAAATACTAAAACATTTAAGAACATCGAGAAAATATTAGAAGCAGCGAGAAAATACACAGATTTTCAGGTTGTTGAAAGAAATTTGAAATAATCGAAGCAATGAGAAACTAATCAATGAGAAAATATGTATGCTGCAAAACTAGCAGTTTTAGTCTTTCGTATACAATACAATCCTATCCATGAAATGTAAACATACAAAGATACTGAAATAGATAGGGAGACTATCAATTAGTCGGGTTATCTATGGACGTCCTGAATGTTCAATACTCGCAACAAGACCTGTACTCACACTATGATAACTGCACACAACAGTTGGCATCCCGCACCGGCGAAGAAGACAAATCCACGGAGCATCTTCACAGTGGCATTATACATCTCGTTGAAAATTATCATCCCAGTACCCGATGAGATGATGTTCACAAGTCCGATACCGGCAAACAGTGATCCTGAAATGAATGTTCACTATTAGAGGAAGATAAGCTCACCTTATCGTTTACATGTTACCGTCGGGGTTGTGGGGTAGCTTAGTGGTTAAAGCGTTCGCTCGCCACGCCAAACACCCGGGTTCGATTCCCCACATGTGTACAATGTGTGAAGTCCATTTCTGGTGTCAGAACGTTATGTTGCTGAAATATTGCTAAAAGCGGCTTAAAACCAAACTCACTCACTCATTTCAGAGAATAAAATGTTAGTCTAGTTATGCTTCTCAAAGACTAAATTGTTAGTTTACTTATGCCTCTCATACCAGCTTTGTACAAAAGATGAACGTGTGGCTCTCCTTTGCATTTTGGAAAGCATGTGGTTGGCGTTGTAAAGCGTGTCACCACTGAGATAGGAAAGCTCACATCACCATGGACACGTTATCAAGTCTATTTCATCATGGCCATGAGTTGAGGATATAATTAAGATCGTAAATAAAGGTTTCTAATAATTGTGAAAATTGCGTTATGTATGTAAATTTGATTACAACGTTCTCTTAATTATTATCATAGGCATTTCGCCCGATTGTTTAAATCTGTAATATCTATTTGAATATTGATATCATGGGACCCTCTATTGTTATATCTCTGATTGCATTCGTGTCAATGTCCATCCATATCTATCTACGATCATCCATGTTTTCATTCTGTTTGCAGGCCTGACATGTCCATCAAAATGTTAAACGTAGACTATTTGTTATTTTATATTTATGGCTAAGTTTCCCTTCCATCACCAGCGGCTGAGGGGATGGTGTAAATCCAGCTAGGTCCCATGCAGGAAGCAATTGTACTGTAAGTCCCCATGGTCCCTAGTATGGTGATCTACCTTCAGTTGTTGGCGATCTATAGCCCGATTTTATATTGTGTTGTTTTGAAATGATTTAACATTTTACACTGAACTCAAACTAATTTTAATCGATTTGTGACATTCTAGTCGTTATACTGTCCTTCGCTGGCAGGTTTTTAAATAAGTATACATATGTCTATTCTTAGTACATAACTTTTTGTCATCACAATATGGCTGAAATATTGCCGATGTGACGTTAAACATTAACTCACTCACTCACTCACTCATTCCATCAAAATATACCTGCATACTCACCCTGCATTTCAGGAGGGGCCATCCGTGACATGATAGCCCGCAGTGCTGGCAACAAAGGAGCTGCAATACCACTGGGCAAAACACCTGCAACAAAACAATCCACTTTACTCAACCGCAAAGACTAAACAGTATTTATATAAACAAGTCTTCTGAAGATGTAGAATAACTTACACAGGAAGAGCATGACGTCAGTGTTGGCCACACCATTTAGGACGTAGGATACGGCCAGTATGACAGATGTTATGATACATAGTCCTGCGTCTGAGGTGCATAAATGAAGTAGTTTGATGACTGGAATCCCAAGAATTTGTCTGGAAAGGGCCAACGCCATATTGAAATAGCCGATGAGCTCTGGTCCCCAACAGAATGGCAGGTTCAGCTGGAAAAGATACTCCAGAAAAAAGACACCACTCAAACTAAAATATGTTATGAAATACGCTGTCAGCGAAAGCCAGAAAAGACTTCTTGTTTGTCCAAAATCTTTTGAAAAGTAGAATCCAAAAACATTTTTCACCGCCTTCACCGGAGATGGGTACTGGGATCTTCTGTCTTTGTTGATAGTTTCAGGAAGAAGAACAACGACAAGAATTAGTGACAGAAGCATTAGCGAAGTCGTAGTTATGGACGGGTAGAGGTAACCTAGGTATTTGATGAAGTATCCAGTAATAACTTCGGAAACTGCGGCTGCTAGGTAGGTGGTAAAATCTAGCACAGCGATGCCAACTGTCCGTGAGTTCTTAGGTGGTGTGTTGTCAGCCGTGTAGGCATAGGTAGCCAGAATCACACCATTATATCCTCCCGAAACACCTTCAATCACCTCGCTAACGTACAGGTATTTCAGATCCAGAATCCAGTAAATAACAAATATCGTCAATACATTCTTCAGAATCTGGCCGACTAAAGGTAATATGAAGAGAAATCGTCGACCAAGAAAATCAGAATACGCCCCCAAGAACATACAGCTAATTAACGCTGTAGAGTTTCCGATAGCTGTGAGTATTGTCTGACAGTTGGAAGTAAGAACCTGAACCCTTTCCTGTAACAGGTATCCTGGATCCGACTCATTGACGTAACACTTGGACGTTTGATTAGCAGTACTGGCTGACTTTGTGCTGTTGCCGAACACCTCGTCCGAGTACCTCTGGTAAAGGTATTGTGTTAACACTGGATCATGGACATTGACAGACAGCTGGTAAACAAGAAACACAATGTTGACCTTGATTAGATTTCCTAGCTTAGACTTCTCTTCTTTAGCCTTGTTTTCAAGAGGCGGTGTGGACTCCATGTTTGTCTCGTGTTCAGCCAGGAGACTGTGGCCTACTTTGCGTCACCTTATCCCAGAAAACTGCCCTGATACATGCGCAGTGCATTTAATGGCGCAATCCTGATTGACGTAACATATATGATATGATGGTCATGTGATATACTGATACAGTGTACATGATAAACACGTAAGAGTAACGTGTTGCTGGCATATGCAATGAACAAATCTTATCTTGAGTATTAATTGTATAATGCCTTGTAATTTTGGTTTATAACCTGAATATATTTCTAAGATATTCAGTATAATTGTGGTTTGCTGCTCATAATTAGCTAGAAATTATGTTTTGCTTTGTTTATCAACTAGGAACAGATTCAGCTGGATCGAAAATAAATGAATGATAATAATTTATACCTGGAGATACTGCCTTTTTATATTGCTTGAATTGCATGCTGGACATTCAAGCTACTATGAGATAATGACACCAGATAATGACATTGATTATACACAGAGGAAGTCTGCAGCATCATATGACTCATGTCAGTGCTTTATCTGCCCAGTGAATACTTGACCTTGACCATCATTATCTTTACACTCGCACTGTTTAAACAGGGGCCACTGCCGGCATGATAGTTCGCATAAACTGCGATGTCACTGAATAAACCAAGGACAGTAAAAGACATCGGACAACAAGTAGTATATGTGTGAGTTGAGTTTAACTCCACACTCAGCAATATTCCAATATTCTAACTTCTAGAATGCCAATCAAACAAGGGATGAATATGGTTTTGCGCCGTTATATGATATTTCAGAAATATCACAGCCTCAGACACCAGATATGGGCTTCCCACACTGTATCATGTATCGTCGGAGTGACTAGCGAACGCTTTAACCACTAAGCTTCCCTTACTGACTGTGGAGGTGTAATCTCATCATGTTCAGTGACACACTTGCTTACCTTACATTAGTGAGTGAGTGAGTTTAGTTTTACGCCGCACTCAGCAATATTCCAGCTATATGGCGGCGGTCTGTAAATAATCGAGTCTGGACCAGACAATCCAGTGATCAACAGCATGAGCATCGATCTATGCAATTGGGATACGATGACATGTGTCAACCAAGTCAGCGAGCCTGACCACCCGATCCCGTTAGTCGCCTCTTACGACAAGCATGTGTTGTAACCCGGATCTTTACGGGTACAACAAATAGTAAAGAATATACCTGCTCACACATCCTTAAATGTATGTACAAGAATAATCTGTCACACAAACCTTGAAACAAATCAGTCACCAGTAACTGTATGGAATGGAGCACAAGCATACTGAAGTAGCCGATATGCTCTAGAGTGTGAGATATTCAAAGGTAGTGTGTAGATCACCTCACCGAAAGTATATATGAAATATTCTCGGAGACTCTGAATCATTTACCCATAAGAAACCAAAAGCGATTTTACTACTTTCTACTATAGTCCGTTTGGCTGAAAAGCGGACCGATGAATTGCAATCTAACTCGAAAACTAATAAACATAACATACTCAATGAAACGCTGATCATAATCAAAACATCATACCAACTCTGTGAGGTTTTTGCAGAATTTTTGTCCTAAAAATAATGAAGTTGTTTAACAAACTATCATTAAAATATTGACACAGTTCAGTATTTGTTACGAGGGAGGAGTGCAGAGAAAGGGACAGCCAGGTGTTCGAGAAGCGCGTTCACAGACAAAGTTATTTATTCATTAACCTGTGCTGTGCCGTCTCCATCCGTTCTCGAACACCTGGCTGTCCCTTTCTCTGCCCTCCTCCCTCGTAACAAATAGTGAACTGTGTCAATATCTTAAAGATAGATTGTTTAACAACTTTTTTAATTTTAGGACAAAAATGTAAAAATGGGCTATAGATCGCCAACAACTGAAGGTAGATCACCATACTAGGGACCATGCTACTTTTATTGAGTATTGTTGGTACATAATGACAATGATAGGAAGTGTTTCATAAGCAACTTAGTAGATTACAGATGTTCTCCGTGATGTAATCAGCCTTGACGTCTCGATAACTTCATTTAAATTAGTGACTGTGTTACTTTAGTTTGACGCCGGTTTTAGCAATATTCCAGCAGTATCAAGGTAGGGGTACAACGGAAATGGGCTTCACACATTGTACCCATGTGGGGAATCGAACCCGTGTCTTCTGCTTAACGATCAAAGGGTAGCCCATCCGTCCCCAGGAGTAAATTGCCACACTTACCGACTTAACACTTGTGATAACATTAGTCACGTGACTCCAGACTATGATAACCCAAATATGTTTGGGGACATCTGTACTCGATTGCAGGTATCAAAACTGGTGCTACTATGATTATAGACTTGAACTGTTTAACTATTCTATCGCACGTATTCATTATACCCATTGTATAATATACATAGAATCACTATGCAGACACAAAACATATATCTTATGATTTGTAATGCATACTTTCATAATTTGAAAATGGTCAGGAAATGTGATATGTTAAAACGCTTGAGGCGAAGGTTGTTACTGCCGCTGTGACAGAAATACAATGTAGCATGCAATGAAACTGATATCTTGGTGTGTAAATAAGAACAGACCACTCAGTGACTGTTTATTGCTTGTGCTAGTTAGGACAGGAACGTTTCTTCAATAAGAAGGTTGACACTATATCATGGTTTTCGTGTACCATGGTGACACAATCGTCCTGGAAAAGTGAACCGGCTGATAATGTGTCATTGGTAAGTTATATGATATGTGGATATCATGACAACAACAACTTGACGATTGTCTGGTTCCCATAGGCAACTTACACATGCTCCTTTCCGTCCGAGCCGTAAATAGACGCAGCATGTACGATGGTGCGGTTGTGACAAACATACAAACACCTTGCAAGAAAGAAAATATATATGAGTTTGTGACAAGTGTTTGCTTCACTGGATGAGAGAAAAACAGGCATATTTCAGCTGTAAAACGTCGATACACATGTGATCGTATTTGTTATTCAGTGAAGTCTAAAACTAGTAAAAATACTAAAACTACGTAGAACAGATATACCACACAGATGACATCAGATGTTCGACGTGACTGGACACCTTTTAAAGGTAATTCGTTAACACTATGTAATGTGGGTACTGACATTGAACGACTCAGTAATAACAAACGGCAAATAATAAATCCTGCACATTTTTCCTGAATATTTACTAATGACCATTCATATACTCACACTATGATAACCATCGCCAACAAATGACAAGCAGCACAGACGAGGAAGGCGAAACCACGGAATATCTTTACAGTTGCATCATACGTTGAAAGCTGTTACTCCTAACCCTGCTGAGGAGGATGTTCATAAGCCCAACTCCGGCAAACAGTGATCCTGCAAGCAAAAGCTGACCGTATGCATTTACATAGGAATCAGAATCGGATCCTGATCTGACTGGCAAACACAAAACAAGGGACATATGCTATATATTTGGGATTACACTTTTTCAGTAAAAGTATAGATTCTAGTTCATTTTGGGTTGATTCAGAACCCACACTTTCAGAGTCAGGCAACTAAACTGCCAGTTGTCCGACTTCCGTTTTTAAAAATCATGTCGGCTGAGTGGGTTAGATGGCTGACTTGGTGTGCTGCAAACATGCTACACCTATCACTTTCCAAATGGCTTTTGTGCATTCACCCAATTCTGAAATTGGGTTTCTGGTATATGGATGATCTGATATTGCTCACTAATGGCCAAACAGCCAATCATGTACCACTCATTTATTCTTCTGAACATTCTAAGATCTCTGTATACATATTCATGAAAATCTGTGTGAAGACTTGCAAAGTCAACCTTTCCCCTGACTCTCTTGCCTGAGTGAAGCCATGCTTTAGCAGCAACATCTTTGTAACTATGTTTTCAGACCTTCTTAGGGGCTCTTGCCGGCATGCCACGCACTGTGAACTTGTTGCACTTGCTCAAACGTTTCTTTGATCCAGGTTACACCATCTAAGGCGTTAATATTGTTTTCAAAAAGTTGCATGGTAGCAATGGGAGAAAACCTCTAATTTAGACACTCGGTGACCAAAGTGATGTCTTATGCGGTTCTCTACTTTCCTTGAACAATCCCTGATATCATCACTATTTGATAGTCATTCATGAACAGCATAAGATTTTGATATCGTTGCAATCGCAGATTAATGGTGTAACTGTGGGTTGGTTTGTTGTTTAACGCCGCACTCAGCAATATTTCAGCTAAATGGCGGCGGTCTGTGAATAATCGCATCTGGACCAGACACTCCAGTGATCAGCATCATGAGCATCGACTTCGCAATTGGGATACGATGACTTGGTCAACTAAGTCAGCGCGCCTGATCGCCCGATCCCGTTAGTCGCCTCTTAAAAGCATGGGTTACTGAAGATTAATTCTATCGGGTTAGGATCTTCACGGGTAAGGGTAACTGTTTATTGTGCAATGTTTGATCTTACATAACTTGCAGTGATTTTTATAAATATGCTGCTTCAACCAGCATATATCAAGCTGGCATATAACACTGAATACCTGCATGCCTCCTTAATTAATCAAATTGAATATAAGTTGCTGACATAATGAGTCCGCAAAGTACTTCATGACCTAAAAACTAAATACTGATTGTTCTGGACTACTGGAAATATACTCTCTGAGATGTATTTGAATTTCAGACGAATTTGTACTCTCAGATACATACATACAACATGTAGACATATGGTCATGCCCATGATGAAATGATTAATGTAGCGATGCATGCATACCCACGAGGCATAAACTGTTGCATTCCTTGTTGACATGTGTCATGTTTTTGTAATTATTCAGTGCTTTGTTAAATGCATTTTTTAGATAGGACGCTGTTAACATAAACAGATATAAAATAGAACGTTATTTTTCCTTTGTACATCTTTCTTTATCTACAGGGGCGGTGAATGGTGCCGGTGTTAAAGCGTTCGCTCGTCACGCCGAGGACCGGGTTCGATTCCCCACATGGGTAGAATGTGTGAAGCCCATTTCTGGTGTCCTCCTGCCGTGATATTGCTGGAATATTGCTAAAAGCGGCGCGTAAAACCATAATCATTAACTAACTCACTTCTTTATCCACATTCTTAAAAAGAAACGCATAGGCTAAAAATTAGGAAATGTATTAACCGTATTTAAGTCGATTAAGCTTGAACATAGATGAATGAAATTCTACAAAGAGGTGAACATATGTATTGTTGTCATTGTCAGCATTAATTCAGTTTGCTCACTGCACATGGGTGAACACAAGGGAGCGTTCAGGTCAGTACTGGTGGCACCACCCCTTACAACCGTCACTGCTTGGAAGGGATTGCACAAGTCGTCGGATTTTTCCTTGGGGACTTCTTTGCCATTCCTCCTGCAACGCGTTGATAAGTTCTGCAAGTGTCTGAGGACGATGGTGACGTTTCCTGACATGTCGATCAAGTTCGTCCATAGACGATGCTCGATCGGGTTCAGATCAGGCTATTTGGAAGGCTAGGGCACCTGTTACACGAGTCGTCGTGTCACCTGTCGTCGTGTCAGGACAGGTCGTAACTTTTGGTCGATATGCTCGAAGTCCGACTTCTCTCAGACGATTTCTGATGGTTGGTCGGAAATTATTCGAAGACCAGGCACCTGTCCTGCAGTGTCCGCTGCTGTAGCAAGTCGGTGACGTAGGTGAAAATCATTAATTCCCTAAACACTTCTCGTGTTGTAAAATATTAGCTATCATATCGGTTCACATCAATGTATTGCCATTAAACATGCCCCAACGGTGTTTGCTAACGTCTTGAAATAAGGAACCAGCAACTGTAATTTAGGTACATAACTTTGGCCTATTGGCCAAAGGATTTGAATAACATTTTCAAAAAATTTAACAAGATCACATTTAATGCATGATTAAAATAAGAATAGTGAAATGAGATACGAAATGCCAGGCGGACAGCTTAAAAATCTTGGCCGTTTTGTTGCAAGAAAGTATTTTCGATTTACAGTTTCAATTCCAAAGCTGTGCCTGTCATGCTGATTATGCTTAGTGTTAGTGATACTTTGTACCCAAAATTCCGACATGAACAAAGAGCAGTCATCTATTTTCCAAAAAATAATGAATGAAGTTTTTCCCACCCCGTTTCTGAAAGGTAAAGTATCAAGCCGATTACTTATGCCTTCCTTTACTGAAGCCATTGTAATCCCTCATGCTATTGACAATTTGGAGTTGGTTTTGATGAGTCTCTCTTTTATTTTCATGGCTGTTATGGTAAATACAGTCCATGTGTTTTCTATATCAAAAGGTAATTTTGCTGTTTCAAGTTTTACAAGCCTCTCCGACCCACACCAGACACACTCTATAGCCAAACTACAATTAGTTTGATACTGATACTCCCGAAAGCACTGATCACCCTCCCCAAAGAAATCTCATGATGCATTAAAGCTTTAATTCCAAATATACAAAACGTTCCTGAGAATTAGGTTATGAACTAATAAGGTCCCTGTATTGACAGGTTCATTTTAAGAGTAATAACTCAGTGTCATCCTAGTTCCTTGACGACAACATCAACAACGGATACCACATGGTCGTGTCGGTGACACACTTGTGTTGGTAGATGATGGGGCTTGGCGTTTAGTCGTTGTCGTTGATGGCAACAGTGGAGATATCAGTTACAATCCCGCGGCGGGAGGTATACAAGAATACTCTGCAACACAGGGAATATGTTTGTGGTAAATATCTCAATATTTTCCATTTGCACGATGTGACCTCTAACTGTTACTTCTTGCAAGCATCTAAGTGGGTACAAACACTGACTCTGTATACGAGATGAAGGTGGTCCTTACCATTTTCTGTGGACATTTAGAACCAAATAAACTTTACTCACATCATGATAACTGCACACAACAGTTGACATCCTGCACTGGCGAAGAAGGCAAAACCACGGAGCATCTTCACAGTGGCATTATATATCTCGTTGAAAACTGTTACCCCCTGTACCTGATGAGATGATGTTCACAAGTCCGATACCCGCAAAAGTGATCCTGAAATTAATGTTCACTATTGGAGGAAGATATACTCACCCTATCGTTTACATGTTACAATCACTATTTGATAGCGTTTTCAGAAACACATGATTTCATCATTGTAATGCATGTGTTATAGTCTAATGATCTGTAGATTTCTTAAGTAAGGATCCAAAATAGAATCAGTTTACCTGATTTCCTTTTAAATCAGTAGAAGGTCTGCTGTGTGTAAATAAATTGATGGTTATACCTTAGTCTGTCATACAGACCTTGAAACAAATATATACAAGGAAACCCATGCAAGTCGAGAATATATGGCTAGTCTGGATTACCATAGTTTCTGATAATGGAGAAAGCCTCAGGGCTCCTTTCTCTTATATTTTATGATTATTATGTATGAACCGTCTTTCTGTAAAATATATTCATTTCAGAGAAGGGGCGGTGGGGTAGTCTAGTGGTTGAATCGTTCGCTCGTCCCGCTTAAGAACCGGGTTCAATTTCCCACATGGGAACAATGTGTGAAGCCCATTTCTGGTGTCAGAACGTTATGTTGCTGGAACAGTGTTCCTTTCCTTATATTTTATGATTATTATTTATGAACGTTTTTCTGTAAAATATGTTCATTTCAGAGACGAAAGGTTTGTCTAGTTATGCTTCTCATACCAGCACAAAAGGAAGAATTTGTGGCTCTCCTTTGCATGTTGGAAATCATGTGGTTGTCGTTGTAAAGAGTGCCACCACTGAGATAGGATCACCATAGAGACGTTATCAAGTCCTATTTAATCATGGCCCATAAGCACAGGTTGAGGGTATAATTAAGATCATTTCTAATATGGTTTCTAAAATTATGAAAATTATGTATGGAATGTTCTCTCAATTATCACCACATGCAATTCGTCTGATTGTTTATCTGTAAAATCTATGGCATATGCATTTGATTGCAAAGGGTGTCAATATCCATTCATATCTGTCTACGAGGATCCATGTTTTCATTCTGTTTGCAAGCCTGACAAGTCCATCAAAATGTACCTGCATACTCACCCTGCATTTTGTGAGGGGCCATCCGTGACATGATAGCCCGCAGTGCTGGCAACAAAGGAGCTGCAATACCATTTGGCAAAACAGCTGCAACAAACAATCCACTTTACACAACAGCAAAACTCAACGGTGTTAATATGTAATGTCTTCTGAAGATGTAGCATGACTTACACAGGAAGATCATGACTGTGCTTTGGGCTAACTTAAAGTTATCACAGTGAAGATTATTCGCGTTCGTTACTGCAATGGTGACTTACACATGAAAAGCATCAGATCAGTCTTGGCCACACCATTTAGGACGTAGGATCCGGCCAGTATGACAGATGTTATGATACATATCTCTGGGTCTGAGGTGCACAGATGGAATAGTTTGATAACTGGAATCCCAAGCATTTGTCTGGAAAGGGCCAACGCCATATTGAAATAGCCGATGAGCTCTGGTCCCCAACAGAAAGGCAGGTTCAGCTGGAAAAGATATTCCAGAAAAGAAGACACCATTCAAACTAAAATATGTTATGAAATACGCTGTCAGCGAAAGCCAGAAAAGACTTCTTGTTTGTCCAAAATCTTTTGAAAAGTAGAATCCAAAACATTTTTTACTGCCTTCACCCGGAGATGGGTACTGGGATCTTCTATCTTTGTTGATAGTTTCAGGGAGAAGAACAACGACAAGGATTAGTGACAGAAGCATTAGCGAAGTCGTAGTTATGGACGGGTAGAGGTAACCTAGGTCTTTGATGAAGAATCCGGTAATAACTTGGGAAGCTGCGGCTGCTAGGTAGGTCGTGAAATCTATCAAAGCGATGCCAATTGTCCGTGAGTTCTTAGGTGGTGTATTGTCAGCCGTGTAGGCATAGCTAGCCAAAATCGTACCATTATATCCCCGAAACACCTTCAAACACCTCGCCAATGTACAGGTATTTCAGATCCAGATTCCAGTAAATAACAAGTGTCATCAGTACATACTTCAGAACCTGGCCGACTAAAGGTAATATGAAGAGAAATCGTCGACCAAGAAAATCAGAATACGCCCCCAAGAACATACAACTAATTACCGCCCCAGAGCTTCCGATGGCTGTGAGGTATTGTTTGACAGTTGGAAGTAAGATCCTGAACCCTTTCCTGTAACAGGTATCCTGGATCCGACTCATTGACGTAAACACTTGGATGTTTGATTAGCAGTACTGGCTGACTTTGTGCTGTTGTCGAACACCTCCTCGGAGTACCTCTGGTAAAGGTATTGTGTTAACACTGGATCATGGACATTGATAGACAGATGGTAAACAAGAAACACAATGTTGGCCTTGAGTAGATTTCTAAGCTTAGACTTCTCTTCTTTAGCCTTGTTTTCAAGAAGCGGTGTGGACTCCATGTTTGTCCCGATGCTCATCCAGGAGATTGTGGCCTAGCTTGCGTCTCCTGCCCCAACAAGTTACCCTGATACATGCGCGGTGCATTTAATGGCGCAACCCATTGACCTAACATATATCGATGTAATGGCCATGTGATACATGAGATAATAAGTGATGTCACAGTGGTGCAGCATCTTTAACATTAATCGATAAGCTGTGTAGATATGTGAAATGATCACATGCTAAAGAGGCTGTGATAAAGACGTCAGGGTTGCGTGTTGCTGGCAAATACCATGAAGTAATCTTGAGTGTGAATTGTAGAATGCCTTGTCATTTTGGAATGTAACCTGAATATATTTCCAAGACATGCAGTGGTTTGCTGCTCATAATTTCAACTAGTTAGAAATGATGTTTTGTTTTGTTTATCAATTAAGCACAGATTCAACTGGATCGAAAAGAAATAAATGAAAGCTCACCCAATGAAGGACTTGTTGTTGTTGTTGTTGTTGACATCCATAACTTTTCACACTTTATGTGTATCACATTTATAGTGAGTGAATGAGTGAGTGAGTGAGTTAAAGTTTATAGTCACAGCGACAGTATTTCAGTCATATCGTGACCAAAACTAGTTATAAATTCATGATAAGTATATATATTTTAAAACCTGTCAACGAAGGACAGTAAAACTAATTAGAATATCACAGTATCAAGAATTAAAACTAGCATCTTTCTCTAAAATTAGATTTCAAATTGGGACAATACAACAATATATAAACGGGCTGAGTATCGCCAGCAACTGAAGGTAGCTCATCATACCAGGGACCACAAGGACTTACAGTACTTTTGATACGTGCATGGACCCTAGCTGGATACATGCCATTTTATATATTTTGCACACAAAATGGAGATAAGAAATGATAATGTGGGATTACACAATCGAATGACACCTGTGTCTTCTACACCACATTCACGAGATTGGAAAGAGTACTTTGACACCAATAGGAATATTTGTTCACTTATGTTGCATATGCACAAAGGCAAATAGAATAAATTAAGAGTGAGTGAGTTTGGTTTTACGCCGCTGTTATCAATATTCCAGCAATATCACGGCGGGGACACCAGACATGGGCTTCACATATTGTACCCATATGGGGAATAGAACTCGGATTTTCGGCGTGACGAGCGAACGCTTTAACCACTAGGCTACTCCACCGCCCCTTGTCTTGAGTATACATCAGAGTTAGCAATTGTGACATCAACTACTCATTTTGGGGAATTGAAGCTGTGGTGATGTTGAATAAGAATTATTGAAGGTGCAAAATATACTATCCCAAAAAGAAACGCATAGACCAGAAATCTGTTGCGAAAATGTTGTATTTTTAAACATGTATAACTCGTTCACAAATAGACTTTAGTACATGAATGTTTACATCGGTTTAGAAGAAGGAAATGTCTATACAACCAAGTGGATAATTTTAGATAACGGATCCGTTGAACGCGATGGTGACGACGTAGCACGGCCCCGACGTCGGGTCTCCTGGCTCTCAGTCCAATCTCTCTCAACCTGTTCCGTACAGTTTGACCGGATATCTTCCGAAGTTCAGGCACCCTGGCTGCTGTGCTCTCACCCGTGGCAGTACGAACACGCAAATGTAGTACCCGGATGTTCCGATCTTGGGCTGCAGTGGTGACTCGAGCTCTGCCCGTACGAGGACGGTCATTTGTTATACCTGTTTGGTTGTAACGAGCCGCAAGCCGTGATATCGTGCTCAGACTAACATTCAGACGCCTGGCAACAGAAGATTGGTAATCTCCAGCATGTATTCTTTCAATGGTGATGTTCCGTGTCGCAGATTCAAGACGTGGCGTAGTGATTTGGCATTGAAACTCCTTCAAAACGAATGCCGGTTTCCGAAAGTAATCTGGATTTTGATAGCCAGACAGTGCATGCTCTTTGCTGCACAATTTCAACTGGAAGATGTTTTTGGTTGCCTTTTTAATCCTTGTAAGAAATCTCATCAAAATCAACATTTTCAGGTGAAGTCGACTTTTTACTTGTGCAATTGTGTAAAATCATGTTATCAACACTTTTTACGCCATAGTCAGCAATATTCCAGCTATATGGCGGTGGTCTGTAAATAATCGCGTCTGGATCAGACAATTCAGTGATCAACAGCATGAGCATCGATCTGCGCAATTGGGAACCGATGACATGTGTCAACCAAGTCAGCGAACCTGACCACCCGATCCCATTAGTCGCCTCTTACGACAAGCATAGTCGCCTTTTGTGGCAAGCATGGGTTGCTGAAGACCTATTCTACCCCGGATCATCACGGGTCTTCCACGAGAAAAGCACGAGGTCAGTGTTGTTCAGGGCGTGTAGGACATTGGCTCCTGCTTGCAACTGTGTGGATGGAATCACCAGTGCCTGTGTTGAATGGAGCACAAGCATACTGGAAGTAGCCGATATGCTCACCGAAAGAATATATGAAATATTCTCTGAGACTCCAGGATAATTTACAAATAAGAAACCAAAACCTATTTTACTACTTTTATTGAGTGAGTGAGTGAGTGAGTTAAAATTTAAAGTCACATTGGCAATTTTTCAGCCATATCGTGACTAAAACTAGTTCTAAATTCATAATACATACATATAATATATAAAACCCTGTCAACGAAGGACAGTAAAATTACTAGAGTATCACAGATTGAGTTAAAACTAGCTAGCATATATCTTTAAAAGTAGAAAAGCATGTTTGGACAATACAATGTAAAATGGGCTAAAGATCGCCAACAACTGAAGGTAGATCACCATACTAGGGACCATGCTACTTTTATTGAGTATTGTTGGTACATAATGACAATGATAGGTAGTGTTTCATAATCAACTTTGTTGATGTTCTCCGTGATATAATCAGCCTTGACGTCTCGATACCTTCATTTAAATTAGTGACTGTGTTACTTTAGTTTGACGCCGGTTTTAGCAATATTCCAGCAATATCAAGGTGGGGGTACAACGAAAATGGGTTTCACACATTGTACCCATGTGGGGAATCGAACCCGTGTCTTCTGCTTAACCATCAAAGGGTAGCCCATCCGTCCCAGGAGTAAATTGCCACACTGGCCGACTAAACACTTGTGATAACATTTGTCACGTGAATCCAGACTATGATAACCCAAATATGTTTGGGGACATCTGTACTCGATTGCAGGTATCAAAACTGGTGCTACTATGATTATAGACTTGAACTGTTTAAATTCTATCGCACGTATTCATTATGCCCATTGTATGATATACATAGAATCACTATGCAGACACAAAACATATATCTTATGATTTGTAATGCATACTTTCATAATTTGAAGATGGTCAGGAAATGTGATATGTTAAAACGCTTGAGGCGAAGGTTGTTACTGCCGCTGTGACAGAAATACAATGTAGCATGCAATGAAACTGATATCTTGGTGTGTAAATAAGAACAGACCACTCAGTGACTGTTTATTGCTTGTGCTAGTTAGGACAGGAACGTTTCTTCAATAAGAAGGTTGACACTATATCATGGTATTCGTGTACCATGGTGACACAATCGTCCTGGAAAAGTGAACCGGCTGATAATGTGTCATTGGTAAGTTATATGATATGTGGATATCATGACAACAACAACTTGACGATTGTCTGGTTCCCATAGGCAACTTACACATGCTCCTTTCCGTCCGAGCCGTAAATAGACGCAGCATGTACAACTCATCCAGCTTGACCTGATCAACTGAATACTAATGCACTGCGTGACCGTGTCACAACTGGTTTGGTCTATTATTGTGAAGGGGTGCACCTTTGTCAGTTGATTGTCAACATGTCGCTATAAAACATTTCAGTGTCGAGATATCGTCAGCAATGTCTTAACTTTCTCCTGAAAAGAAGCTACAAGAAGGTTTAATTTTCCGATTCGGGCTTTTAGGCAGCGAGCAGCAGCAACTGGGTGTAGAGGGTGATAGCGAGAGTGAATCGGATTGTGAAAGTAACTGACAGACGTCTGAACGTTGTAAAGTTAGTAACTAGAGAGCATACGAACGCAACATTAATAACATTCTCTACTCCCCTATTTAATGAAATTAACTCGACCTGCCGTTTGTGCCATTTTACCTCCAGGGTCATGCATATGTAGAGTAGCTCAGGTCAAGCTGAACAAACTGTAACTGCTGACTTAGGCGATGACAAATAATTGGAGCTGCACTTACATCCATATGCATCCTGTGCACGTGCATTTAAAATTGGATCGAGTGACTTATATATTTCGTTTTATTTATATTCCAATTATCAACAATGTTTAACCGTAAGTAGCATACTTATGGAGTCATCTGTTATATACTCCCCTCCCCAAACAAACACACCCCTAAAACAACCCCAAACACCCCCGAAAACCCAAACCAAACAAAACAACCCACCCCGACCCCCCCAAAACGAATCAAAACAAAGCAACCACCCCGAAAACAAACAAACAAACAACAAACAAAACAAAAACAAGCATAAAAACAAACAAGCAACAACATCCAAAACAAAATGCATGTATAGATGTGTAATTGTGCCTTAATGTATAAGACATAAGACATAAGACATAAGACATGCATAAGACATATATTAATGGTCATCTTGCGTTCACCAAGAGAACAATCTAACTGGGTATTTATTTGTAGACGTAATACAAATCACTGAATCAACCAGCTTGAGCATTACTAAATTGGAGGGAGCAAGGGCGAAAAGAGAAGAATACTATATAAAACGTTCCTGGCAGTTATGTTCATTTCAAGAGTAATAACTCAGTATCATCCTCGTTCCTTGACATCAACAACGGACACCACATAGTCGTGTCGGTGACAGACTTGTGTTGGGTGATGATGGGTACTGGCGTTCAGACGTTGTCGTTGATGCCAACAGTGGAGGTATCAGTTACAATCCTGCGGCGGGAGGTATACAAGAACACTCTGCAACACATGAATATGTATTTGTTTAATATCTTAGTTTTTTGTCAGTTGCACAATGTGACATCTAACATTTACCTCTTGCAAGCATCTCAGTGGGTACATACACTAACACTGTATGTGAGATGAAGGTGGTCCTTACCATTTTTCTGTCGGCGTTTAGAACCAAATATACTTGGAAATACTCTAATGTTGCCTCTGTTGAAGTTTTAACGGAATTCTGAAGTTTCTCGTTACTTCTATCTATTTCTGGTTTCTATACTTCCTTGTCATTTCAAGTAAAGTAGGAAAATACTCGATATAAATGAATGAAATGAGGAAATGAAACATAACGAGTAAATACTCAAAATTTGAAGAAAATAATTAAAATACCGAGAAAATATCTGAAACAGACAGAAAATACTCGAATCTTCAGGTTGTTGAAAGAAACCTAAAATATCGAATAAATAATCGAAGCAATGAGAAATACTCGAAATAACGAGGGAGGAATTATCGAAGCAACAAGAAACTAATCAAAACAACTAGAGATTTCGCTGAACAAAATATGTATGCGACAAACGTAGCTGCAATATGTGACATCCTATCAGTGAAATCCTATCTGTAAAATGTAAACATACAAGATACTTAAATAGATAGGGAGACTATCAACTGGTCGGGTTATCTATGGACGTCCTGAATGTTCAACAAGACATGTACAAGACCTGTACTCACACCATGGTAACTGCAGACAACAGCTGGCATCCCGCACAGGCGAAGAAGGCAAACCCACGGAGCATCTTCACAGTGGCATTATACATCTCGTTGAAAACTGTAGTCCCAGTGACTAATGAGATGATGTTCACAAGTCCGATACCCGCAAAAAGTGATCCTGAAATCAATGTTCACTATTAGAGGAAGATAAGCTCACCTTATCGTTTACATGTTAGCGTCGGGGTTGTGGGGTAGCCTTGTGGTTAAAGCGTTCGCTCGTCACGCCGAAGACCCGGGTTCGAATCCCCACATGAATACAATGTGTGAAGACCATTTCTGGTGTCCCCGCCGTGATTTTGCTGGAATATTGCTAAAGTGGCGTAACCTTCACTCACTCACTACATGTTATCGTCACTATTTCATAGCGTTTCAGAAACACATGATTTCACTATTGTAATGTGTGATTTGGAAAATATGATCAGCTTCTTATGCAGCAACTAATTTAATATTTGTCTAGTTGTTTACATTTTTTCTCCTTTCCACTATTCGGTATACATTTGTTAAACAAATGAGTTTACAAAACATTTGTAATAAAGAAAACGTATTTATGTGCACTCTCATTCCTTTTCCAGTTGTATTTATCATACATTTCTATTTCAGCCTGCAGGATTGTTGTTATAGAAGTGCATAATGACGGTCAATTGGACACGTTGTGGCTTTCAGACCATGGTAATGGTAAATGGACACCTGAATGTGATAATAAAGTTATAGTCTAATGATCTGTAGATATCCCAATTGCGTAGAATGATGCTCATGTTGTTGATCACTGGATTGTCTGGTCCAGAATCAATTATTTACAGACATGTGGCTGGAACAAGTCAGCAAGCCTGACCACTCGATCCCGTTAGTTGCCCCTTTAACAAGCATGGGTTGCTGAAGACTAACTCTAAACAGGATCTTCACAGGTACATCAAAAGCCATCCTTGATACTACTGTGAGAATGCGAAGCCAGCAAAAGGAGGTAATATAATTATCGAGCCAAGCCGTGGATGCATCCAGGGTATAGTGGAGAGTGATCGTAACGTATACCCTGGAGATTATCGAAGATGATCAAGAAAGCCTGGATGTTCATAAACTTCCATCATCTCTCTATGAAGGTTCATACTCCATGAATTCATAGAAACTTTACTACTAAGAAAGTGAATATGGTGAAAGTCAGTTCTTAAAGGTCACATGCAACCAAAAAATCAAACATAATTAAAACACAATTATCACTTATTCATGACATATAATATACATTGCTGGTTATGAAAAAACATATAAACAAAATTATAAGCGTACAATCGCAAATCAAAAGTGCAATATTGTGTACTTGGGTTTACTTCCCAAGAAACGAAGCAGCCGGGATACCAAACCCAGTCAGAGCGGGTGGGTGTGCACTCAAGTGTAACGGCTGGTTCCTTTGCAGATGCCCTCACGGCTCATTGTGTGTGTATATATAGAGATGTTGGGTTTTGTAAATACAGGCTCATTTTTTGTGTATAACATTTTGCAATCAACAGACATCATAACATGTCATGTGTTCAAGTATCACACCTGCCTGTCTGTGTAATTACATAATGTGACAGAGACCGAACTCGGGCCATAAATCAATGCGTTTTGTTTATGGTGTATAGCCTGATTGGTGTTAAGTTCAAATTGCATGTGGTCAGTGATCGCAGTTGTGTATTGAATATTGTCATTAGCAGGCAGGCAGGCAGACACACAGGTGTCAATAAAACAAGACATTGAGTTTTGTCTGTGACAACGACATATCTATATCACAGTTAGAAATTGCTGTCAACGCTAAATAATGACATTGCTTTTAAGTATCGAACTGAGAAAGTGACTCGGTAAGAAGAACGTGTGGTGAAATAGACAAATGAAATCATATAAACAGTTTATTTACTGTCATAACATATAGAAGCTCGCGCCTGTGAGATATCAACAAAACATTAGGATAATAGCTCACACCAAAGCCTTCACCGAGTATTCACCGGACAGCCCGCTTCCAAGTTGCGCGAACCTATTTCACTGCGCATGTGCTATGAGCGCAGCCCAGCTGTTGAAACCAGGTTTCCCCGAAAAGTCGGGGGAAAATTAGTGAATCGTTTGAACTCCGATTTCGCGCGGTTTTTTTCATCGCGTTATTTTTCAACTTTATAAGTTGAATTTGCATTTTTGATGATTTGTTTCGGTAAGTCCATACCGAAAGGTATCAGAATCTGTAAAGTTGCATGTGACCTTTAAGTAAAGCTTCAGAATAGGAACAGTTTACTTGATTTCCTTTAAACCAGTTAAAGATTCTCGCTGTGTGCAGATCGCATTGATGGTTATGCCTTAGTCTCTTATACAGACCCTGAAACAAATATGTGCAAGGAAGCCCATGCAAGTCTAGAATATGTGGCAAGTCTAGATTACCATAGTTTCTGATAATGAACATAGTCTCAGGGTTCCTTTTCCTTATATTTTATGATGATTATTTATGAACGTTTTTTTCTGTAAAATATGTTCATTTCAGAGACGAAATGTTTGTCTAGTTATGCCTCTCATACCAGCACAAAAGATGAACGTGTGCCTCTCCTTTGCATGTTGGAAAGCATGTGGTTGTCGTTGTAAAGAGTGTCACCACTGAGATAGGATCACCATGGAGACGTTATCAAGTCTATTTAACCATGAGTCCATGACCCATAAGTTGAAGATATAATTAAGATCTTATAATAAAGGTTTCTACTAATTAGAAAATTGCGTTAAGTATGTAAATTTGATTGATAAGTTCTCTTAATTACTTAATCCATTTACGGTGTACAAGTGCTGTCACATCATGTACTTTGTATATTTGTATCTACTGATCCTGAATGAATAAATTTAAAAAAAATGTTCTTTGTATATTTGTATCTAAAATGAATAAATTTAAAAAAAAAAAAAAAAAAAAAAATCTCTTCATTACTACCATAGGCATTTCGTCCGATTGGTTATCTGTAATATCTATGACGTATGACTGTTGATATCATGGGACCCTCTATTGTTATCACACTTGCACGCGTGTCCATACATATCTGTCTACGAGGATCCATGTTTTCATTCTGTTTGCAAGCCTGACAAGTCCATCAAAATGTACCTGCATACTCACCCTGCATTTCAGGAGGGGCCATCCGTGACATGATAGCCCGCAGTGCTGGCAACAAAGGAGCTGCAATACCATTTGGCAAAACAGCTGCAACAAACAATCCACTTTACACAATAGCAAAGACTAAACAGTGTTAATATAATTATTATAATTTCTTCTGAAGATGTAGAATGACTTACATAGGAAGATCATGACGTCTGTGTTGGCCACGCCATTGAGGACAAAGGATACGGACAGAATGACAGACGTTATGATACATATCTCTGGGTCTGAGGTGCATAAATGAAGTAGTTTGATGACTGGAATCCCAAGCATTTGTCTGGAAAGGTACAACGCCATATTGAAATAGCCGATGAGCTCTGGTCCCCAACAGAAAGGCAGGTTCAGCTGGAAAAGATACTCCATGAAGAAAACACCATTCATACTAAAGTATGTTATGAAATACGCTGTTAGCGAAAGCCAGAAAAGACTTCTTCTTTGTCCAAAATCTTTTGAAAAGTAGAATCCAAAAACAGTTTTCACTGCTTTCACAGGAGATGGATATTGGGATCTTCTATCTTTATTGATAGTTTCAGGAAGAAGAACAACGACAAGGATTAGTGACAGAAGCATGAGCGAAGTCGTAGTTATAGATGGGTAGAGGTAACCTAGGTCCTTGATGAAGTATCCAGTAATAACTTGGGAAGCTGCAGCTGCGAGGTAGGTAGTGAAATCTATCAAAGCGATGCCAATTGTCCGTGAGTTTTTAGGTGGTGTATTGTCAGCCGTGTAGGCATAGCTAGCCAGAATCACACCGTTAAAACCCCCCGAAACACCTTCAAACACCTCGCCAATGTACAGGTATTTCAAATCCAGATTCCAGTAAATAACAAGTGTCATCCATAAATACTTCAGAGACTGGCCGACTAAAGGTAATATGAAGAGAAAACGTCGACCAAGAAAATCAGAATACGCCCCCAAGAACATACAGCTGATAAGTGCTCCAGAGTGTCCGATAGCTGTGAGTATTGTCTGACAGTTGGAAGTAAGATCCTGAACCCTTTCCTGTAACAGGTATCCTGGATCCGACTCATTGACGTAACACTTGGACGTTTGATTAGCAGGACTGGCTGACTTTGTGCTGTTGTCGAACACCTCCTCGGAGTACCTCTGGTAAAGGTATTGTGTTAACACTGGATCATGGACATTGATAGACAGATGGTAAACAAGAAACACAATGTTGGCCTTGAGTAGATTTCCTAGCTTAGACTTCTCTTCTTTAGCCTTGTTTTCAAGAAGCGGTGAAGACTCCATGCTTGTCCCGTGCTCATCCAGGAGATTGTGGCCTAGCTTGCGTCTCCTGCCCCAGCAAGTTACCCTGATACATGCGCAGTGCATTTAATGGCGCAACCCATTGACCTAACATATATCGTGTAATGGCCATGTGATACATGAGATAATAAGTTGCGTGATGTCACAGTGGTGCAGCATCTTTAACATTGTCGATAAGCTGTGTAGATATGTGAAATGATCACCTGCTAAATAGGCTGTGATAAAGACGTAAGGGTAACGTGTTGCTGGCACATACCATGAAGTAATCTTGAGTGCGAATTGTAGAATGCCTTGTCATTTTGGAATGTAACCTGAATATATTTCCAAGACATGCAGTGGTTTGCTGCTCATAATTTCAACTAGTTAGAAATGATGTTTTGTTTTGTTTATCAATTAAGCACAGATTCAACTGGATCGAAAAGAAATAAATGAAAGCTCACCCAATGAAGGAGTTGTTGTTGTTGTTGACATCCATAACTTTTCACACTTTATGTGTATCACATTTATAGTGAGTGAATGAGTGAGTGAGTGAGTTAAAGTTTATAGTCACAGCGACAGTATTTCAGTCATATCGTGACCAAAACTAGTTATAAATTCATGATAAGTATACATATTTTAAAACCTGTCAACGAAGGACAGTAAAACTAACTAGAATATCACAGTATCAAGAATTAAAACTAGGATCTTTCTCTAAAATTAGATTTCAAATTGGGACAATACAATATATAAACGGGCTGAGTATCGCCAGCAACTGAAGGTAGCTAATCATACCAGGGGCCATAAGGACTTACAGTATTTTTGATACCTGCATGGACCCTAGTTGGATACATGCCATTTATATATTTTGCACACAAAATGGAGATAAGAAATGATAAATGTGGGATTACACAATCGAATGACACCTGTGTCTTCTACACCACATTCACGAGATTGGAAAGAGTACTTTGACACCAATAGGAATATTTGTTCACATATGTTGCATATGCACAAAGGCAAATATAATAAATTAAGAGTGAGTGAGTTTGGTTTTACGCCGCTTTTATCAATATTCCAGCAATATCACGGCGGGGGACACCAGACATGGGCTTCACACATTGTACCCACGTGGGGAATAGAACTCGGATTTTCGGCGTGACGAGCGAACGCTTTAACCACTAGGCTACTCCACCGCCCCTTGCCTTGAGTATACATCAGAGTTAGCAATTGTGATATCAACTACTCATTTTGGGAAATTGAAGCTGTGGTGATGTTGAATAAGAATTATTGAAGGTGCAATATATACTATCCCAAAAAGAAACGCATAGACCAGAAATCTGTTGCGAAAATGTTGTATTTTCAAACATATATAACTCGTCCACAAAAAGCCTTTAGTACATGAATTTTTACATCGGTTTAGAAAAAGGAAAACTCTATACAACCAAGTGGATAATTTTATATACCTATCTGAAATGAATAAAATATTGTCTAAAAAAAAAAGTGGATAATTTTAGATAACGGATCCGTTGAACGCGATGGTGACGACGTAGCACGGCCGACGACGTCGGGTCTCGGGACTCAGTCCAATCTCAGACCAATCTCTGTTCGTACAGTTTGACCGGATATCTTCCGAAGTTCAGGCACCCTGGCTGCTGTGCTCTCACCCGTGGCAGTACGAACACGCAAATGTAGTACCCGGATGTTCCGATCTTGGGCTGCAGTGGTGCCTCGAGCTCTGCCCGTACGTGGACGGTCATTTGTTATACCTGTTTGGTTGTAACGAGCTGCAAGCCGTGATATCGTGCTCAGACTAACAATCCGACGCCTGGCAACAGAAGAATGGTAATCTCCATCGTGCATTCGTTTTAAATGGCGATGTTCCGTGTCGCAGATTCAAGAGTGGCGTAGTGATTTGACCTTGAACCTCCTTCAAAACGAATGCCCGTTTCCGAAAGTAATCTGGAATTTAAAAGCCAGACAGTGCATGCTCTTTGCTGCACAATTTCAACTGGAAAGTGATTTCTGTTCCGTTGTGGCTATGCCTTTTTAATCCTTGTAAGAAATCTCATCAAAATCAACATTTTCAGGTGAAGTCGACAGTTTTACTTGTGCAATTGTGTAAAATCATGTTATTAACACTTTTTACGCCATAGTCAGGAATATTCCAGCCAAATGGCGGCGGTCTGTAATTAATCGAGTCTGGACCAGACAATTCAGTGATCAATAGCATGAGCATGGATCTACGCAATCCTGCAATTGGGATACGATGACATATGTCAACCAAGCCAGCGAGCCTGACCACCCTATCCAGTTAGTCGCCTCTTACGACAATCTTGGGTTACTGAAGATCAATTCTAAACCGGATCTTCACGGGTATAACAAATAGTAAAGAATATGTAGGTCTGCTCACGCACCCTTACATGTAGGTATAAGAATACTCCGTCACACAGACCCTGAAACAATAATATCCAAGAAAGTCCAAACAGGTCTAGATTATGTGGCAAGTCTAGATTATCACAGTTTATATTTCTGAAAATGAAAATCTCGAGACCCCTTTTCATTATATTGTATGATTATGATGTAAATATCTTCATTTTAGAGACTAGATGTTTGTCGGGTACAAGAACAGCTTTCTAGCATCACATCTTACACTTTCAAACTCAATACACGTCAACAATAGAAATCTGTGGCCCACCATTTCGTTTATGAAGCCAAACGTAATGTAGTGCAGCTATGTCTTCCACGAGTGAGTGAGTTTAGCTTTACGCCGCACTCAGCAATATTCCAGCTATATGGCGGCGGTCTGTAACTAATCGAGTCTGGACCAGACAATTCAGTGATCAACAGCATGAGCATCGATCTGCACAATTCGGAACCGATGACATGTGTCAACCAAGTCAGCGAGCCTGACCACCCGATCCCGTTAGTCGCCTCTTACGAGGTCAGTGTTTTTCAGGGCGTGTAGGACATTGGCTCCTGCTTGCAACTGTGTGGATGGAATCACCAGTGCCTGTGTGGAATGGAGCACAAGCATACTGAAGTAGCCGATATGCTCTGGAGCCTGAGATATTCAAAGGTAGTGTGTACATCACCTCACCGAAAGAATATATGAATTATTCTCTGAGACTCTGAAATATTTACAAATAAGAAACCAAAACCGATTTTACTACTTTTATTGAGTATTTTGGTGCATAATGACAATGATAGGAAGTGTTTCATAAGCAACTTAGTAGATTACAGATGTTCTCTGTGATATAATCAGTCTTGACGTCTCGATAACTTCATTTGACTGTGTTACTTTAGTTTGACGCCGGTTTTAGCAATATTCCAGCAATATCAAGGTGGGGGTACAACGGAAATGGGCTTCACACATTGTACCCATGTGGGGAATCGAACCCGGGTCTCCTGCTTAACCATCAAAGGGAACCCATCCGTCCCAGGAGAAAATTACCACACTGGCCGACTAAACACTTTTGATAACATTAGTCACGTGAACACTTTGTTATCCAGACTATGATAACCCAATGTTTGGGGACATATGAACTCGATTGCAGGTATCAAAACTGGTGCTACTATGATTATAGACTTGAACTGTTTAACTATTCTATCGCACGTTTTCATTATGCCCATTGTATGATATACATAGAGTGAGTGAGTGAGTGAGTTTAGTTTTACGCCGCTTTTAGCAATATTCCAGTTATATCACGGCGGGGGACACCAGAAATGGGCTTCACATATTGTACCCATGTGGGGAATCGAACCCGGGTCTTCGGCGTGACGAACGAACGCTTTAACCACTACACTACCCCACCGCCCCGATATACATAGAATCACTATGCAGACACAAAACATATATCTTATGATTTTTAATGCATTATTTCATAATTTGAAGCTGGCCAAAAAAAATTGATGATATGTATAACGCTGGAGTCGAAGGTTGTTACAGCCGCCGTGAAGGGAATAGTATGCAATGAAATTGATATGTTAGTGTGTAAATAAGAACAGACCGCTCAGTGATTGTTTATTGCTTGTGCAAGTTAGGACAGAAACTTCTTCAATAAGAAGGTTGACTCTATATCTCGTTCATGGTATTCGTGAACCATGGTGATGCAATCGTCATGGAAAAGTGAACCACCTGACAATTGATCATGGGGAAGTTTATGTCGATATCATGACAGCAACTTGGCGATTGTCTGGCCCCCAAAGGCAGCTTACATATTTACCTTTCCGCCCGAACCGTAAACTAACGCAGCATGTAACTGTTGATTTCTGGACTTAGGCGTTGACAAATAATTGGAGCTGCACTTATGTCTATATGCATCCTGTGCACGTGCATTTATAGATTAGAAAAACACACACCTTTACACGGAAATTAACAGATGAATTCAAGATGCATTTCTGCAGTTGGTGTACATGATATGGTAACAATATGGATCCAGTGACATATATTTCGTTTCATTTAAATTTCAGTTATCAACACTATTTAACCGTCTTTATCATACTTACAGAGACATCTGTTATACCCCCAAAAAGAAAAAAAAACAACCCCCAAAAACAAACCCAACCCCAACCCCAACCCCAACCCCAACCAAACCAAACACAAAACAAAACAAAACCAAACCAAATAAAAACAACAAAAATACAACAAAAAACACACACAAAAAAACCAACCCCAACAACACAAAAATCAAAACAAAAAAATATTATTCCAATATGGAGACGCTCGACGGTAATCTGGACTACTATACATTGACTGTATCGGAAGAGGTCATGTTATGCTCTGGTCGTATGTCTTCTCCATTCATAGGCATCATCCAATGCCATTACATCGCCTTGTCACTAATGGCGTTGACCTTGGGACTACCGATCGGAGTCATTGATGGCAACATTGATGGAGGTATTAATGTCGGTGGTGCGGCGCGACAAACACAGAAACACCCTGCAAGACAAAAAATATATAAGAGTTGTGTTTACTTTACTGGATGAGTAAAAGTCCTTATAGTACGAAACACATGTATGTCGACACTAACATACAAACATGTTTCGGCTGTAAAACGTCGTATTCAGTGAAGACTAAACCTTGTACAATACTGAAACTACGTAGAACAGATATGTCACACAGATGACATCAGATGTTGGACATGACTGGAAAGTTTGAACGTGAGACGTCATCACTATGTAATGCGGGTGCTGGCATTGAAGACACAAGAGGTTTTATAAAAAAAGGCAAATAAAATATCCTTTACATTTTCCTGAAAATTTAATGTACCCATGATCATTCATATACTCACACTATGATAACTATCGCCAACAAATGACAAGCAGCACAGACGAGGAAGGCGAAACCACGGAATATCTTTACAGTTGCATCATACATCTGGTTGAAAGCTGGTAGGCCTAAACCTTCTGAGAGGATGTTGATCAGCCCAACTCCGGCAAACAGTGATCCTGAAACCAACAGCTGACCGTAGGCATTTACATAGGAATCAGAATTGGAACCTTGTCTGGAACCTGACTGGCAAACACAAAACAAGGGGCATTTGCTATATTTGGGATTACACTTTCTCAGTAAAGTGTAGATTCTACTTCGCTTTGGGTTGAGACGGATCCGGGATTCGAACCCACACTTTCAGAGTCAGGCACGTGACCTAGACTACCAGTTGTCCGACTTGGAAACCATGTTGGCTGAGTGGGTTAGATGGCTGACTTGGTGTGCTGGAAACATGCACACCAAGGTGCATGACTCTGCGGATGTGACTCAACCCCAAAAAGTACTAGAATCTGTAGTAAGAATAAGAATGTAACAAATGTTACATTTCATAACTTATCACATGACATTGTGCATTCACCCAATTCTGATATTGGGTTTCTGGTATATGGATGATCTGATAGTGCTCACTAAAGTACTGTCGGAAATAGAAAAAATATATATATCACATATATATCTACCATTTATGAAGTTAAAATGTGAAAGTGTGAAATATCTGTGAAACTAAGTTCGGTCTAACTACAGTCTCAGTGGCGGGGAGATAGGAAACGTTAAAAGGACTTTACTGAGGAGAGATAAGTGCTCAAATGAGCAATGCGGTTTTTTCTAAGTCCAAAGCAACTTATTTAGAACAGACCATGGCTTTATGCAAATTAGTGTGCGATGCTATTGTATTTCAAAGGACACTATTTAAATGCCTATTTTGAAACTAGACTTAGCTTCATTATAAACGATAGCTGACGTAAAACATATCGACTTTAATACAGAAACTATTTAGGATGAAGCTACCATGGAGCCCCACTATCACTTTAAAAAGAAACAGGTAGGAGGGCTTGTCTCAAAAGCAAAACCAGGACGGGTGTCGCAGACGGTGGTTGGGGTCGTACTGGCATGGGGCATAGAGATATCAGCTACGATAAAATAATCCTTTAGGGGAATTAAACTGGAGGAAGTAAACGGCATGTCTTAACAATTAACAAATAATATCCAGTCCTGTCGATCTTGGGGTGGTCTTGTCACCTATATATTTTGAGACATTTAATACGATAGTTGATTTAAGCTTTCCTATGGGTATCATATTCTTTTACATATCTCAACATACACGTTATGAAAGACACGTAAGATGATAATCAAATAGATGAGACATATTCAATAAACATGACAAAAGCATAAAATATCTTTGAGATGACCCCTTGTGCCTGTAGGTAGCACGTGCATTTCATGCCAGGTGAGTCGACGGTCCGTCGTCAAACCTGGCTGAGCGACCTAATTGCCATCTATTGTTTTCAGCAGCTATTCGTATTTTTTTAGTTTTGCCCTATTTTACGAGTAAACATGCACTTCTGGATATTCTATGACACACCCCACTGAACCAATGTGGGTTATTTCAACATTTGATTTTGGTAGTTGTGTAAATTTTAGGGATACAGGGTAACAGCCTAAAAACAGTTTTTGTTTCTATTTCCGACAGTACTTTAATGGTCAAACAGCCAATTATGTGCAACTAGACATGATTCAATGTAAGATCTATGTATACATCTTCGTGACTAAATCTGTGTGAAGACATTTGCAATAATCAACCTTTCCCCGACTCTCTTGCTTGAGTGATGCCATACTTCAGCAGCTACATCTTTGTAACTACGTTTCTGGGCCCCTATTCTCGAAAGGATCCTAGCCCTAGGATATCTTAACTTTGATCCTAGGGTCTAGGATAGGTGTCCTACCTTATTCTCGAAAAGTATCCTAGCGCTAGGATATCTTAACTTAGGACAATTACTAGGATAGGTTCTGACTTGTCCTAAGTCTATGTTAGTGGAAATCAACATGGTGTGGTTCTTGTTTGTTCACCAATCTTGACGTTGTCAAAAAAAATAACTAGCCTAAATTACATTTGAAATTACAACAGCAAACAGTTTTAGTTAAGAATAGTATTTTGTGTTTATATTATCAATTTATCGGTAATGAATAGTCACACTTGTTGCAATGCACATACTTTTTAGATCTACAAAAGAGATTTGTTCAATTCTTACCTATTCTCTGCCTTTTTAATCAAAACATTACTCTTTTCTGTCACATTGACGTGAAATGTCAATGTCAAGGCCAGCTTGATAGGGGGAGTAATTCCTGTTTATTTCCTAGGTGAATTTTCAGTTTGTGAGATGACGCATAATGAGAGTTCAAGTCATGATTTTCTCAAAAAAAGGAAATAAAATGAAAATATTTTCGCACATATCTTATTGCTTTTTTGGCAGACTTTCAAACTCTGAAGTAAAAATGTTATATCCTTGTGAAATAAATGAATTTTAAAAACTTCAAATCTACTATAATGTGATGAAAATATCGAATATAGCAGCATAATTATAACAATACTTTGTTTTCTGGAAGTATGGTAATTTGAACAAATAGATATTAAACAATTTCATTAAATATTTAAAATCCATTCAGGTACTAATTCACCTCTATTTTTCTGGATACAAGAGGTGTATTTTAATTATAACCATAATTAATTATAATTTCTTCTAGATCTATTAAGTCCACCAAAAGCTGACTTTCACCACATTCAAGCTTCTACTTCGATTTCTAGTCTTACCATTTATCTTGCAAACGAGATTGTATTTGCCTTTATACATTTGTATATGTGTTATTTATGGAATGAATCATGGGTGATATTTAGGGGAATCCCCCAACGTAATGAATGTTTTCCTATCTCTTCTACTGAAGAGCTCGTTATCCTAGCTAGGATCGGTAGCTCAAGTTAGGACGGGGATAGCGTCGTTTCAAGAATGGGTCTTATCCTAACGGTAGGATGTCCTAACTCCTGTCCCAACTAGTTAGGATCTGTCTTAGATGGGACACTTTCGAGAATAGGCACCCAGACCTTCTTAGGGGATCTTGTCACGCACTATGAACAGCTACCTGTTGCACTTTCTCAAAGGTTTCTTGACCAGGACCACACCATCCAAGGCCTTAATAATGCTTTCAGAAGGTTGCATGGTAGCAATGGGAGAAAACATCTCGAATTCAGACACTCAGTGACCAAAATGATGTCCTATGGTGGTGGCGCGTGGTCCTGTGCACAGAGCTCAGGTCACAAATCAGTTGAAGTTAAGCAACGTCGAGCTCGGACAATCCTTGGATGGGTGTCCGTGTTTGGCAGCCTGACTCCTGAGAGTTTCTAGGGCTTCAGTCCTGCCCCACAACGAAGCACATGTGATGCATGTGGTCTTAGGCAAGTGAGTTTGTTGAAATTGCCTCTGTTCACCTAGCTGAAAATGGGTACCCGGTGGGATAAAGTCATGTGACTATAACCTTCTAGCGCCTAACAGGCAGCTTGGGTTATCCGGGGTAATAAGAATCTGATTAAGCGCCGCGAGCAATCACTTGGTGTTTGGAGTCTGTGCGCTATAGAAGATGACTTATTATTATGCAATTCTCTATTTTCACTTGTGATATTTTTGCAATCGCAGATTGGTGCAACGTTGGTTGGTAGGTTTGTTGTTTAACGCTGCACTCGGCAATATTCCAGCTTTATGGTGGCGGTCTGTGAATAATCGAGTCTGGACCAGACAATACAGTGATCAGCATCATGAGCATCGACTTCGCAATTGGGATACGATGACATGGTCAACCAAGCCAGCGCGCCTGGTCACCCGATCCCGTTAGTCGCCTCTTACGACAAGCATGAGTTACTTAAGATTAATTCTAACGGGTTAGGATCTTCACGGGTTATGGTAACTGTGAGTTAAGAGTGCAATGTTTGATCTTACATAATTTGCATTGATTTCTTAAATAAGCTGCTTCAACCAACACATATCAAGCCGGCATATAACACTGAAAGTTTGCATGCCTCCTTAATTAATCAAATTGAATATAAATTGCTGACATAATGAGTCCGCTAAGTACGTCATGACCTAAAACTAAACACTGATTGTTTTGGACTATTAAAATATACTCTCTGAGATGTATTTGAATTCCAGACGAATTTGTTTATCATTACGTTTATCTGTTTCTGGTTTCTTCCAGTTTTGAATATTTTCTTGTCATTTCAAGTAGCATAGGAAAATACTCAAAATCTGGAGAATATAAATGAACTAACGAGAAAATACTCAAAATTTGAAGAAATAATTCAAACACCGAGAAAATATATGAAGCAGCGAGAAAATACTCGGATTTTCTGGTTGTTGAAAGAAACTTGAAATAATCGAAGCAATGAGAAACTAATCAAAACAACTACAGATTTCGCTGAACAAAATATGTATGCGACAAACGTAGCAGCATTAGTCTTTCGTATACAATATGTGACATACTATCAGTGAAATGTAAACATTACAAAGGTACTAAAATATACTATTCACAAAATGAAACGCATAACCCAGATATCTGTTGCGAAAATGTATTTTCAAACATGTATAACTCGTCCACAAATAGACTTTAGTACATGAATCTAGACACCAGTTTAAAAGAAGGAAACGTTTATACAACCAAGTGGATAATTTTAGATAACGGAGACGTTATGCGCGATGGTTACGACGTAGCACGGTCCCGACGTCGGGGCTCCTGGCTCTCAGTCCAATCTCTCTCAACCTGTTCTGTACAGTTGGCAGTATGATCACGCAAATGTAGTACCCGGATGTTCCGATCTTGGGCTACAGTGGTGACTCGAGGTCTGCCTGTACGGGGACGGTCATTTGTTATGCCTATTTGGTATTAATGAGCTGCAAGCCGTGATATCGTGCTCAGAATAACATTCAGACGTTTGGCAACAGAAGACTGATAATCTCAGCGTGCATTCTTTCAATTGCGATGTTCAGTGTCAAACAGTGCATGCTCTTTGCTGCACAGTTTCAACTGAAAGGTGATTTCTGTTGCGTTGTGGCTATGCCTTTTTAATCCTTGTAAGAAAGCTCATCAAAATCAACATTTTCAGGTAAAGTCGATTTTTTACTTGTGCAATTGTGTAAAATCATGTTATCAACACTTTTGTTACATATTTGGACGATTGTTTGAATACAAAAGGTAATTAATAGATTTTTAAAAATGCACATCTTTCTTTATCTACATGGTCAGTGAACGGTGCCGGTTTTAAAAGCGTTCGCTCGTCACGCCGAGGACCCGGGTTCGATTCCCCACATGGGTACAAAGTGTGAAGCCCATTTCTGGTGTCGCCCTGCCGTGATATTGCGGGAATATTGCCAAAAGAGGCGTAAAACCATACTCACTCACTTCTTTATCTAAAGAAAAGAAACGATTAGGCTAAAAATAAGGAAATGTATTAAACGTATTTAAGTATACATAAGTCGATTAAGCTTGAACATAGATGAATGAAATTCGACACAGAGGTGAACATATGCATTGTTGTCATTGTCAGCATTAATTCAGTTCGCTCACTGCACATGTGTGGACACACGGGAGCGTGCAGGTCAGTACCTTTTGACACCACCCCTTCCAGCCGTCACTGCTCGACACCGCCTTGGAAGGGATTGCACAAGCTGTCGGATGTTTGCTTGGGGAATCCTTTGCCGTTCCTCCTGCAACGCGTTGGCAAGTTCTGCAAGTGTCTGAGGACGATGGTGACGTTTACTGACGCGTCGATCAAATTCGTCCCGTAGACGATGCTCGATCTGGTTCAGATCAGGCGATTTGGAAGGACAGGTAAGGACATTGACGTTTGCATTGGCGAGATAGGCACCTTTTAACGAGCTGTGTGGGGTCGAGCTTTGTCGTGCCAAAACAGCTCCCTCTGGCGGTTAGTTAAAAATGTGGGAGGAGGTGAGGTCGCAGGATTTGGTCGATGTAGCGATGTGCTGTAAGATGGCCTTGAACCACCACTAGCTCTAATCTACCCGTGTAAGACATGGCTCCCCACACCATGACGCCTACTCCACCAAGTCTGTCCACCTGTCGAACGCAGTTCGGCGCAAAACGTTCGTATCGACGTCGATAGACATGTTGTCTCCCATTCTGTCGTTGATGAAGAAACGCGATTCATCGCTGAACCAAACAGCGCGTCACCAGTTCCCCAGGTTCCATGCCTGTAGCCCGTTGCACCATTGGACACGTGTCAGGACAGGTTCAACTTTTGGTCGATATGCTCGAATTCCCACTTCTCTCAGACGATTTCTGATAGCCCATGGGCTGATATAGGTGACCCTCCTCCCGGGGGAATTTTGAAGACTATATTTTTTTGAAAGCTTATCATATGTACATTCAAATTCCAGGTGTTTGCAGGCTGGGTGCGGGGGATTTTTCCCGCAGTGACCCCACAAAGGGGGTCAGGGTGGGAAAAATTTGGGAAAATTAGATTTTGCTTTTTTTCACAAAATACATTCTAGTAACTGCTTTCTATCAGGAACTATAAAACTATTTAAGGTTTATTGATTAGTTACAGGTACAGGAAGACATTTACTTTGAAAAATGCATTGCGTCTAAGGGAAAAATTAAACTTTATAGGTGTTTTTCTACTCTTTCTAGTGGGCAATTGTTTTAAGAAGGTATTCTTGTTTCAATAGCTCTAAAATGATCAAAATTAATGTTACAGATAATTTCGTAATGGAATGATGAATTTGGCCTTTTATAGTCGACGTCTCTTCCCATTGAGCAGGTTTCATGTATCGATTTCATTACTTATGACAAACGTTTACAAACACATTTTGGGATGCGTTTGTGGGCAATGCACAACAACCACGACATGGTTAACAACAACAAAGGAATTCAACAACAAAGAATTCAAACAAAAGAATTGTCTTAATGACGATTGCTGTCTCAATATGTATCGAACTGAACTACTTAAAACGTCTATGCGTTTCTTTTTTAAGAGTGTATATGAGACTTACCCTGCATATCTGCAGGCGCCATCCTTGACATGATAGCTCTCACTGCCGGGAGCAGAGGGGAAGCAATACCATTTGGCAAAACAGCTGTAATGAAAACAAATGAAAGTATATTTTGCCTTTTTTAATGTGTAATGGAAATCTTTCAAACTGTTTTGTCAGGAGTGGTAATAAATTGAGTACTCACCAATGTAGACTGGGGGCGGGGGCGGTAAGGTAGTCCACTAATTAAAACTTTCGTTTGTCAGGTGGGAGGCCCTTGTACCACTCCCAACATAGGTTCTTATCAAAGCATAATTTTATTGTTATAACACTTATTATGACTTACCTGCAAAAAGCATGAAGTTAGTGTCGGCCAGGCCCTCTAGGACATAAGCTCCTGCCCGTATAAGGGATGTTATGATACATATCACAGGGTCGGACGTGCACAGATGGAAGAGTTTGATGACTGGAATTCCTAGTAATTGTCTGGAAAGGGACGCCGCCATATTGAAATAGCCGATGAGTTCTGGACCCCAACAAAATGGCTGGTTCAGTTGGAAAAGATATTTTACAAAGTACACTCCACTAGTAGTAAAATATATTACAAAGTACGCTGCAGTTGAAAGCCAGAAAAGACTTCTCTTTGGTCCAAAATCTTTCGAAAAGTAGAATCCAAAGACATTTTTCACCGCCTTCACCGGAGATGGGTATTGGGATCTTCTATCTGTGTTGATAGTTTCTGGGAGAAGAGCAATGACAAGGATTAGGGACAGAAGCATGAGTGATGAAGCAGTTAAAGAGGGATAAAGGAATCCTGTGTCTTTGATGAAGTATCCAGTCAGGAGCTGTGAGATTGCAGAAGACAGGTTGGAGGTGAAATCTATCACAGCGATTCCAACTGTCCTGGAATTCTTAGGTGGTGTATTGTCAGCCGTGTAGGCATAACTGGCTAGAATCACACCACGGTACCCTCCACTTATTCCTTCAATAACTTCACCAATGTACATGTACCTCAAATCCAGATCCCAGCAAATGACAATGGTCAACGTGCTGTACCTCAGAATCACTCCGATTAAAGGTACAATAAAAAGAAACCTTCGACCCAGAAAATCAGAATATGACCCGAGGAACATACAGCTAATGAGCAGAATAGGGCTTGACATAGCTGTCAGTACCGTCTGAAAGTTTGATGTCCTTTCTTGAACCTTTTCTTGTAATATGTATCCTGGATCCGACTCGTTGAGATAACACGTAGATGTTTGGTTTGTAGAGTGGACTGTGCTGTTACCGAACAGCTCATCCGAGAATCTGGTGTACATATATTGTGTTGCCAATGGCTCGTGGATATTGACAGACAAATGAACAATCAGAAACACAACGTTGGCTTTGAAGAGATTTCCCAGTTTAGACTTCTCTTCTTGACCATTGCCTGCTAGTAGAGGCGTAGACTCCATGTTTGTTCGGTATACTATGACCCGTGTGCACAGCTGGCTTCTCGATAGTATATATACCTGCAGCCTTGAAGTTTGAACCCCCGTGGCATAAAAAAAACCCTTGTATACCTGGTGACACACGCGAGCATGCATTGCGATAACACAATCAGACTGTGTGGGTGAACACAGACTCGAGATCACTCCATTACTGTTTGTATATATGCAACACAGGTCCGACATACCTTTACAATTACAATTTAGCATTAATCGACTTACTGTTTACATAATTGGATATATCTATCTTATCTTATTATTCGTTCTGCACAGTGGCATAGGATTGTTTGTAGACAACAATAGTGAGTGAGCGAGTGAGTTTAGTTTTAATGCCGCTTTTAGCAATATTCCAGTTATAAATGAACTGCAGACATTGTACCCATATGGGGAATCGAACCCGGGTCTTTGGCGTGACGAGTGAACACTTTAACTACTACGCTACCCGACCGCCCGCTTGACAACAATACTCATACCTTTGGAATATGGTCAAGGAGCCTTAGGAAGAGAAGTTATGCTTTTACATTCTATTTTACCGATACACACTACCCACAATAATTCAATCACCCAATCTGTGTGAGTATTTCGGTCATTTTTGGAATTTACTACTAAATATGTTACCCCCTCCATGTAATCCGGCTTCAAACATACCACAGGCAGTTTGTTGCTTCTGATGAGATTGTTCAATCTTGAGAAAGATAGTTTACTGCATGTTGTCGTCTTACGTCGTTGTTCATTATGTCAACAATTCCTTGTCTCGGACCAAACTCTTCGTTACACATCACCGCCATACAGCTGGGGTACTACAACTAGGGATGATATCATCGAGATTATTATACAATAGTTTTCTTTTTGCTTTAATGATCTTGAAGTTGATGGTTTGGTGACTTTGAAGATAAGGCTATTGATTTCATGTTAAATTTATCAATTACATATCTGAATATTTTTTATCTGACACCAGGTCGACACATTATTGCATCTAGTATGGGAGAGTGAATGAGTGCGTGAATGGGCTTTACGTCACTTTCAGCAATATGTCAGCAATATCTAGCAGGGGACACCAGAAATGGGCTTCACACATTGTACTAATGTGGGGACGGATCTAGTTTTCCGACAAGGAAATTTCAGGAATGTGCAAAGTTGAAATCAGAAAATCATAAGTGTCAGTTGTTAAATGGGCTAACGAGTTTGTGTAGCCACTACGAGAACTTTAGATTGGATGTGTACATTTTCTTTAACGGTGACATTGCAGCATTGTCAATCAAATTACATTTCACGTCACCTCATACAAGACATAACACCCTTTTTCACGCTTTAAAGAAACGACACGGACTACCGTGCAATTATTGACCCTTTTAATATCAAACGTATAGCGTATAATAATTTGAATGGAGTTAGACTAGGGGTCTTTGGTTAGCACGTAACTTCCCCTCGAAATACCTCAAGAGTTATTGATCTACATTGATCTTTCAACTGCTGTCAACAATCTTCAATCAGTACATCTGTTTACCAGAAATATCAAGATGTTGTTGAGTTAATATTTCTAGATTTGTGACTCAATTGTGTTGTATTGGAAATCTGTACTGTCATTCATTATAACCTTGTTTGTTTTTTATTCAATATATTATTGAATATCATAGACTTGTCTGTGTTCTGTTTTGCTGGTTTAAAGGGGACTTACAAGACTTTTGTCTTCGTAATTTCTAAACCAGATGATTGATGGGCATTTAGAAGTTGGAAGGTAACATAACAACGTATGGTATGGATTTACAACTTCTTTACTATTTACAACACGACGTTTCTGGGCTACTTCTTGCCCCGTTATCAGGTGAATGGGGCAGGAAGTAGCCCAGAAACGTCGTGTCGTAAATATTAAGGAAGTCGTAAATCCAAACCATACGTTGTTATGTAAATTTCTAAACCGTAACACAAGATACACACGTAATTCATCAACTATGGTGAGTAGTGTTATCATCATTTCAATTTAACATCCATCCACTATGGACGGCATACACTAACTTGGACAAACTCTGCATGCGTGTAACTATCCTTGATTGGAAGTACCACAAAGTAGTTTCCAACTGTAATAAGTGGTAGGAACCGGCATCAATCTACATCGTCACCACTATATTATTATACAAAGAGTGCAGCAGTTGAATTAGATAGGGTTTCGCATTGGCCCGTCAGTTGTTACGAGTGAAAAAAGAATCCAAAGGTATTCTTCAGTGCTTTTACTCGGAATGGGTTTTAAATCTACAATCCATGTTCCTAGTTTGTGGCAGAAAAACAGCAGGGAAAAGGAAAGTATGGGCTATGATAGAAAAAGGTGATTTTACCAAAACCTGATCAAAGGATATATGATGTCGCAATACAGGACCGCTTTGGAAAATGCTTAAATTATATTTATTTGGTTGGTAAGTTTCTTGTATAATGCCTCGCTTAGCAATATTAATTTGTATATAGTCGAATATATTTTGGACCAGACATTTTGCATATATATTTCATTAATCCACTATATATGTTGAACACTCATTATCATAGTTACGGAGTCATGTGTTATGCACACCCAATCCCCCTCTCCCCCCAACAAAAAAAAAAAATTAAATTATTTTTAAAAAATTGAATAAAATGAAAAATAATAATATAAAAATAAATCAAACAGACAAAACAACCCAAATTAATCAAGAGAACATTCTAATCGGGTATTTGTTTGTAAACGTAATACATATCACTGAGTCAACTGACTTGAGCATTAGCTAATTTAGACGGAGTAACGGCTAAAAGAGAAGAATGCTGACATGAATTAAAAGATACTCCAAACTGTCACGATTGGGGCACTATCTCTGTTGATTAACCTGAGCGGCAAAACCATTTCCACATCCATGAGGAACTTCTTCTGAAAGCGCGGAATTGATATTTCAGTTCCGACTTGTGTTTATGAAGCACTATCAATATATAGATGATACCGGGTTTTCGTGGAAAGGGGAGCGTAACCCGCTGCACCTGTGGCACCAGTCAAACTTCAAATTTCACTTAATACAGTATTCCAATAATAAGGAGACTCTCGACGGTAATCATCCCGGAAGTGTCTGGACTACCATAGAATCACTGTATCAAAATAGGTTCACGTTATGCTCTGGGTGTATGTCTTCTCTATCCATAAGCATCATCCAATGACATCACATCATCGTGTCACTGATCGGAGTCATTGTTGACAACATTGGTGGAGGTATTAATGTCGATAGTGCGGCGTGACAAACACAGAAACACCCTGCAAGACAGAAAATTATATATTTATTTATGCAAAGTACGAAACACATACATATAAACATACGTTAGTTTGTCCTAAAAACGTCCTATACGTGTGATCGTATTTATTAGTTAGACTAACGCTTAGTCTCTGAACATACAAGTGACAAATACACCCATTTAAATTAAAAAGGAGCCCCACGGAGACCAACCAGGGGAAATCTTGCTTCATTAAGGGCTTTAGCATTGCAGGGAAGGCTAGGTTGTAGGGAAAATAATATGGTTCAGGGACTGTGAGACAGACTAATTTATTCGTCAGTGAAAAGATAAACCAGGAACTTACGTAGAACAGATGACCTTTTGAACATATGACGTCAACACTATGTAATAAGGTTACTGGTACATAGTGGTTTTATACCAAAACGGCTAATGAAAAACCCTGTACATTTTCAAGAAACGTTTTAATACCCATGATCATTCATATACTCACACTATGATAACTATCGCCAACAAATGACAAGCAGCACAGACGAGGAAGGCGAAACCCCGGAATATCTTCACAGTTGCATCATACATCTGGTTGAAAGCTGTCACTCCTAAACCTGCTGAGAGGATGTTCATTAGCCCAACCCCTGCAAACAGTGATCCTGCAAGCAAAAAGTGACGGCATGCATTTAGCAATAAGAATAGGGACCTGTTCCGATTGGTAAACAAAACAATTTTGAAATTGAGTTTTGGGTATATCGATAATCTGATGTCTAATGGTCAAACGACCAATTCGCCACCACGCATTTACCTTCTGAACTGGATAAGATTCATATTAAGATCTATGTACACATATTCTTGACAAAGTCGCTTTGACGATCTTTCCAAGATGATACGTCATCCTCCAGCAGTTCCAGCCACTGGAACTACGTTCCAGTTCTTCTTAGGGCCTCTTTCTACGAACCTTTCAAACAGCTACCTTTTGTTCTTACTGAAATGTTTCTTGAACATGGTTATCCAAGACCTTAGCAACGTCCAAGACCTTAGTAACATTTCCCAAAGGTTGTATGGTAGCAATGATAGAAACGATATCTAATTTTGACACTCGGTGACCCAAATTATGCCCCGTGCCGTTTCCTGTTTTGACATCACCAGACATCCTCACTATCTGATTCATAAACCTATGATATTGTCGCAATCGTAGCATGGTGTAACTGAGTTTAAAATGCAATGCGTTAACTCACGGAACTATTTATTTATCTATTTATTTATTTGTTTATTTATTTAAGGTACATGCATTCCAGCTGAATCACATTGAATATACATTATGTCTCAGTTGGTACAGGAATGTTTATTTGAATATTCACGAACCTGCACTGATGAATCAAATTGATTCTCCGATTTTTAAAAATTTCTCGCGATTCGTTAAACTTCGACATATATAGCATGTGGGCATATGGTTATGTACTTGTTATACTTAAAATTATGATATATGATGAATTTTGTGAAAGCATGCATATTGTTGGCGTCCCATTCTATCCACGAACATTTACCCCAAAGCTCTCTCATGCGTTGTTGAAGTGCAATATACATTGAAAGTTTTTGGAATTATTCAGTGCTATGATAAATGTACTTTAGAAAGGATGCTGTAAACATAAACAGGTATTATATAAACGTGCGTCGTCTTTCCATTGCACACATGCACGTTTCTTTCTTTATCCGTATAAGACTCACCCTGCATTTCCGCAGGCGCCATCCTTGACATGATAGCTCTCACTGCCGGGAGCAGAGGGGAAGCAATACCATTTGGCAAAGCAGCTGCAATGAAAACAAAGAAAAGCTATCAGTATATTTAGCCTTCAATCTTTCAAACTGTTTTGACAGGAATGATAATAATTTGAGTACGCACAAATGTGGGATAGGGGTGGGGTCGGTAAGGTAGTCCATCAATTTAAGTTTTCGTTTGTCACGTGGAAGGCCCGTGTCTGATTCCCAACATAGGTTCTTATCAAAGGTTTCTTTTATTGACATAAAGCTTATTATGACTTACCTGCAAAAAGCATGAAGTTAGTGTCGGCCAGGCCCTCTAGGACATAGGCTCCTGCTTGTATAAGGGATGTTATGATACATATCACAGGGTCGGAAGTGCACAGATGGAAGAGTTTGATGACTGGAATTCCTAGAAATTGTCTGGAGAGGGCCAACGCCATATTGAAATAGCCGATGAGTTCTGGGCCCCAACAAAATGGCTGGTTCAGTTGGAAAAGATATTCTACAATGTAAATACCACCCTTATTAAAATATATTAAAAAATATGCTGCAGTTGAAAGCCAGAAAAGACTTCTCTTTGGTCCAAAATCTTTTGAAAAGTAGAATCCAAAGACATTCTTCACCGCCTTCACCGGAGATGGGTATTGGGATCTTCTATCTGTGTTGATAGTTTCTGGGAGAAGAGCAACGACAATGATGACAGAGAGAAGCATGAGTGATGAAGTAGTCAAAGAGGGATAAAGGAATCCTGTGTCTTTGATGAAGTATCCAGTCATGAGCTGTGAGATTGCAGAAGATAGGTTGGAGGTGAAATCTATCACAGCGATTCCAACTGTCCTGGAATTCTTAGGTGGTGTGTTGTCAGCCGTGTAGGCATAACTGGCCAGAATCACACCATGGTACCCTCCACTGATACCTTCAAGCACCTCACCAATGTACATGTACCTCAAATCCAGATCCCAGCATATAACAACAGTCAACGTGCTATATCTCAAAAACTCTCCGATTAAAGGTACAATGAAAAGAAACCTTCGACCCAGAAAATCAGAATATGACCCGAGAAACATACAGCTTATGAGCAGAATAGAGCTTGATATAGCCGTCAGTACCGTCTGAAAGTTTGATGTTCTTTCTTGAACCTTTTCTTGTAATATGTATCCTGGATCCGACTCGTTGAGATAACACGCTGATGTTTGGTTTGTAGCGTGGACTGTCCTGTTACCGAACAGCTCATCCGAGAACCTGGTGTACAGATATTGTGTTACCAATGGCTCGTGGATATTGACAGCCAAATGAAAAACCAGAAACACAACGTTGGCTTTGAGGAGGTTTCCCAGTTTAGACTTCTCTTCTTGATCATTGCCTGCTACTAGAGGCGTAGACTCCATGTTTGTTCGGTATACTTAGAGCCGTGTGCACAGCTGGCTTCTCGATAGTACATATCTGCAGCCTTGACGTTTGAACCCTCTGTCATATAAAAATTGTTTACTCGGTGATAGACACCAGCGTGGATTGTGACCACAAGATCAACCTGCGTTGGCGGACACAGAGTGAGTCCAGATCACACCATCGCTGTTATATAACACTGGTCAGACATACCTTGTGCACTTCAGCAAATCATCAACATATTCATTGAATAAAATAAATTTAAATTAGTCCACAGTGCCATGATTGTAACTGTAATTTTACCTAAACATTATAAACTTGATCAAGTTTACTTGGCTGCAAAAAGTCGTCGAAACACTGCAAATTTGAGATCCAAAACTTCCGTATCCAGTACATTGCTACTGCATATTCATGTCTTGTTAGTTTAATTTGTTTTGACTACCAACAAACATATGCAGAAATAAAATGAGAGACCATATCAAACAATAAATGATATAGGATTGCTTTGTAAAAAATTCAAGTATATTTTTAACAGACCTTCGTCAAATATGAATGCAGCCTAAAATTATCAGTGTTATTCGTTTTACCAGCTTCCCATACGTCAGGAGGTTATGTTTATCAATGCCACCTGTCAACTCGTCCTTAATGATGTCAAGTGCTACATTCATTCTGGGACCACCACCGAGAAGAGACTTTGATGAAGCAGATTGTTTTAAAAACTGAAAAGGCACAAATCGGATATTCTTAAAAGTATATTTCATAAACCATATAACAGATAACTGTCAGAAGGGGAATGAAGCGTAGCAATTTCCAACACACTTGTGGTCGGTCTTTAACAGACCTGAACATCCCGTTGGAGTTCCAGGTCTGTGTAGTACCCTATCGATGGGTACTACAGAGAGCATGGATCAGAGGGCATTCTCTCAAGAAATAGTTTCATTCGCTACTGTGCGTTTGAATATTTCTGCTGCAACTCAAAGCGTCATTCATCCCTTAAACATCCATAAAACTCCCTATCTTATGTGTATCACTTCTAAATGCCATTTGACCGCCTCCGTGGTGTAGTAGTTAGAGCGTCCGCCCGGAGAGAGGAAGGTCGCCGGTTCGATCCCCGACCGCGTCATACCAAAAGACGTTAAAATATGGTACTTGTTGGTCCCTGCCTGGCGCTCGGCATTAATGGGTACAACAAGGACTGGTCGGCTCGGAGTCAGTATAATGTGTCTGAGTGGGGTATTCATGCTTCACTGCGGCATGGTATTTCATGGGCTAGCACTATAAAACCAGCTTCAGTCTGGGCTAGTACAAGCAGCCTCACATACACTTACACACGCATGCACGTCGTCATATGAGCGAAATATTCTCAAGCACGAAGTTAAACCCAATTTCACCTCACCTCACCTCACCTCTACATGCCATTTACATACCGCTGCCATATAGCAGGGGTATTGCATATTAAACCATTGCTGTATAACAGGGGTATATCCCAGTTGCGTAGATCGATGCTCATGCTGTTGATCACTGGATTGTCTGGTCCAGACTCGATTATTTACAGACCACCGCCATATAGCTCGGGTATTGCTGAGTGCGGCGTAAAACTGGACTTACTCATTCATGAATAACAACGTTTTTCAAACATTCACCATCGTATATTTAAGCAATACCATATAGATTAATTCTGCATATAAATTATCCTAATTTTGCCATAATCAAGCAATTGCAAAGAACAAGTGAATGCGTTCATATCAATAATAATTTATTACATGTATGTTACGACAGTTATGACAATAACATGGTTTAGGTCGTCAGCAGTCATAAACGTTCACCAGGGACGTTACGTCGTCGTTTCGGAGATTTGTTTGTCGTGGGAGATGATGGGATCAGGTGTCCTGTCTTCTTCGTTGATGACAACAACAGTGGAGGCATCAGTGTCGACCACGCGGTGAGATACACACAGGAACACCCTGTAACACGTGGATATCCATTGGTTATAATATTCATATAGCGGTTATCCTTGCAGGATTAGTAATATATCATAGCAAATGTGATGGATTCTTAATCAGTCGTTTCTCCTGTACGTAGTAATGCGTTTAAATTGCAAACGGCTGAAAGAGAAACAGTCTAAGTTGTTTTGTCCTCTACGTAGATTATGATGTATACGTAGAAGTTACCTTCATCTTCGCGTAAGCCACTTTTATCTCATATATGATAGTAGTGAGTGAGTGAGTGAGTTATTATTTAACGTCACATCGGCAATATTACAGCCGTATCGTGACGAGGACATATGTCACATTGAAATGGAAAAGATGTATATTATAAAACCTGCCGACGAAGGACAGTAAAACAACTAGAATATCACAATTACAACTAAAACTAGTGTGGAAAATTAAAACTAATAGCACCATTTGGACAATAAAATATTAAAACTGGCTATAGATCGCCAACAACTGAAGGTAGATCACCAACTTAAGGACCATGGGGACTTACAGTACTTTTGCTACCTGCATGGTATATGATAGAAGGAAATCGTCAATGAGATCGTGATATTGTGTTGTGAAGTTAGTTGGGTATAGTTTAAACACACGTTGGATATAGTTAATACAAATATAGAACATATAAATGTCTGGCAGCATGATGGTTGTCTGTATTCATTTGGCCTTTTCTGTATGTTCACAATTCAAATTGTTTCATAGCATCATCTCAGTTAAATCGATTTAACAAATCTCCGATACATGTAAATGAAGAGTTACTTAATTGTATGTTCTGACAGTACCTCAATAATGACACAGCTGTGTCCAACAAATCGGTCAATAGGTCAGACGTTACATAAAATAGACCCGCAACTATTGACATTTCATGGAGAAAATATACAGTCAAACCCGCTGTGTCGAACTCGACGGGACCAAGGGGAAAGTTCGACTTATCCGAGTGTTCGACACATCCGTCAGCAAAGTGCTTACAGCATCGTTTTTCTATAGTAGGCTATACATACGAACAATACATCTTTGTAATAAACGTTTACTGCAGTACTGATCATTAACTTGAAATATATAAAAAATATAAATTAATTCAATCACTTTATTCTTCCTGACAAATAAATATGCATACAAAACGATAAGAATATATGTAATTTAAAAAACTGAAATGAGTTCGACATAACTGGGAATTTGACACATCTAGTACGAGACAGGGTCAAAATAATGATAAATAAGGAAATCGACAGGAACCGAGATGAGTTCGACACAACGAGAATTCGACTCAAAATAGTTCGAGACATTGGGGTTCGACTGTAGCTACCATGTCGATAATTTAATAGCAGCTGATACCAAATAAAAGTGAAAGCAACATTACGTATTAGATGTCAAGTGTAAAAACAATGGCATAAAGAAGCGAGCGAGTGAGTTCCAACAATATCACGGCGGGAGACAACAGAAATGGGCTTCACACATTGTACCCATGTGAGGAATGGAACCCGGGACTTCGGCTTGACAAGCGGACGCTTTATCCACTTGGCTACCTTAGATTATGGTGTGTACTCACACTATTACCACTCCTGACAAGAACTGGAATCCCGCACAGGCGAAAAAGGCGAAGCCACGAAGCATCTCCACAGTGGCATTATAGATCTCGTTGAAAGCTGTCATCCCTAGGTTCCCAGAGATGATGTTCACAAGTCCAATACCGGCAAACAGAGAACCTGGCAAATAACGTTCAGATATTACATACGTATTCACAGTATTCCATATGTATTGATAATGTTAATACTTATTCATAATAATACCTACTTATTCATACTATTACCTACTTATTCATACTATTACCTACTTATTCATAATATTACCTACTTATTCATAATATTACCTACTTATTCTTAACATTGGAAACGTATTCAAAATGTCATATACGTAATACCATTCAATTTCCCATTAGAAAAGTTAAAAAATATTAATGTTAGCTCATATTTACTCATAGTTAAACTGTTTTAGAGTTAATTACTAGTTTTAAATTCATATCTGTGATACTCTAGCTATTTTACTGTCCATCGCTGACAGGTTTTCATATTTTACCATCACGATATGGCTAAGATATTACCTCACTCACACACTCACTCACTCACTCAAGGGTGAAGTAAATTGCTCTTCAGTTACTAACGCCGCAAGCAGAAACATTCCAGCTATGTGGCGGCGGCCTGGATAATCGAGTCTGAACCAGACAATCCAGGGATCAATAGGAGGAACATCGATTGACGCAATTGGGATACGATGACATGTGTCAACCAAGTCCGCGAGCCTGACCACCAGATCCTGTTAGTCGCTTAATGACAAACATGGCTTGCGGAAGACCACTTCTAACCCGGATCTTCACGGGTATCATACACCATACAGTTTTTATTCAGCAAGCCTCCAAATATATGACAGTAGCGTGTAAATAGTTCAACCTGGACCAGTGGATTGAAATGATATAGAACGTACCACCTAAACAAGGTATTGCACTTTCAACAGTCTAACCGAGCTTGACAACCCGTCCCGTTTTCTTGCATCGTATAGGCACACTCTTCAAACATCGAATGACGTCATTCTATTATTACGAAACATACACTGACGAATTGGAATTTTAGAAGAAGTATTCAGTTAGTATTTGAGATTTTTTTGTTTAACGAATCACCCAGCAATATTCCTGTTGGAAAACGGCGATTTACAATTAGTCGAGTCTTAACCACACAATCATCTGATTGACCATCGATCCACACCAATACGATATGATGACAAGCAATCACCAAGTTGCCAAGCCTGACCACCCAATCCACATGCTCGTCTCATACGGTAAGCATGGGCTTCTGGGGACCGAGGTGCCTACCAGAATCCTATGGTTGTTGTCAGATATGCATGTATATTGTCATTAATGCAGTAACCTTGGAAGAAATAGTTCTTTCCAGGCTTCCGTTGTGCATGTTACATGCATTAACATATAACATATCACTGCTCAGAGGCTATTAAAACAAGTTAAGGAACCTATGCACGATAAATGTGGTTAAATCAATCTCATTGTCAGATTCAGTGAGAGCCTCCTGTCTTCAAAGCTAGTTAATAATGTAATACCAACACCCTTGCTTCCTGAGATGGTTTTCGGGATCATTTCCTGTTTTTCAATTAAGTTAACTGTTCTCAAGTCCTGTTCTGATTTGATCACGCTGAAATGAGTGTCCTTGAATGTTACACTTTAATTCATGACTAACGCCAGAAAAGACGTGGATGACCCCGTCCTTGAGCGTCTGTCAGTGTACTCACCCTGCATTTCAGGAGGAGCCATCCATCGACATGATTGCTCGCACCGTCGGCAGGAACGGAGAAGCAACATCATTGGGCACCACAACTACAACAAAGACTCCCGACAGTAATAGCAGACACTGATAATATTGTCTCATATGTCACACCAAATAATTTGCGCAAGAATTAAAAAATACATCTTATACAGGCAAACACATGTTTATATACGTTGTGATATGAATGTCTTTGCTTTTGTCAAAAAATATGCCAACTAGTTGAAGTGTAGAATATCACTTAAAAGACTGTCATGATCACATACATGGTAAAAGGGTTAGAATGGGTCTTCAGCAACCGATGCGACTAAGAGGCGACTAATGGAATCGGATGGTCAGGCTTGCTGATTTGGTTGACACATGTCATAGTATCCCAATTGTGTAGATCAATGCTCATGATGTTGATCACTGGATTGTCTGGTCCAGACTCGATTATTTACAGACCACCGCCATACAGCTGGAATATTGCCGAGTCCGGCGTTAAACAACAAACCAACCAACCAACTTACATGAGAAAAGCATAAAATCCGTGCTGGCCAGGCCGATAAGGGCATATGCTCCTGCCTGTATGAAAGCTGTTATGATACCTATTACTGGGTCTGAGGTGCACAGGTGGAGAAGTTTGATGACTGGAATCCCCAGCAATTGCATTCCAAGGCACATCGCCATATTGAAATACCCGATGAGCTCTGGACCCCAACAGAAAGGCAGGTTTAGTTGAAAAAGATATCAAATAATGGACACTCCTGCCCAGCAGGAACTTGATAGAAAATATGATGCAAGTATAAGCCAGAAAAGACCTCTCTTTGGTCCAAAATCTTTTGAAAAATAAAATCCAAAGACATTTTTCACCGCCTTCACCGGAGATGGATATTGGGATTTTCTATCTGTGTTGATACTTTCTGGGAGAAGAACAATGACAAAGAGCACAGAGAGAAGCATGATTGATAAGGTAGTCACTGAGGGATAAAGGAATCCTGTGTAATTGATGAAGTATCCAGTACTCGCTGAGGAAGCTGCGGCTGCCAGGTAGGTGGTGAAATCTATCACAGCGAGGCCAATTGTCCTGGAATTCTTGGGTGGTGTATTGTCAGCCGTGTAGGCATAGCTAGCCAGAATCACACCATTGTATCCCCCTGTAATTCCTTCAAACACCTCACCAATGTACATGTATCTCAGATCTAGATTTCAGTAAATAACAATTGTTAAAGACGCATACCTTATACTCTCTCCAATTAAAGGTACTATAAAGAGGAATCGTCGACCAAGATAATCAGAATAGGCCCCCAGGAACATACAGCTAATTACAGCTAAGGAACTTCCAATGGCTGTCAGTATTGTTTGAAAGTCCGATGTCTTTTCCTGAACCCTTTCCTGTAACAGGTATCCTGGGTCCGACTCATTGACGTAACACTTAGATGTTTGATTCAGGGTATTGATGCTGTTGTCGAACTCCTCATCGTAGTACCTCTTGTACACATACAGTGTCAACAGCGGATTACGGATATTGACAGCCAAATGGAACACTAGAAACACAAAGTTAGCCTTGAGTAGATTTTCATAGCTTCGAGTTGTCATCTTCGTCCTTTCTTTCTAGTAGCGGTGTTGACTCCATGTTTGTCTGTATCATAGAAACAGGTGACTGTCAACACCACATGATTGTAGCTTCGTGTTCTGATAGTACCTTGACCTCTATTATCGTCGTGCCGCTGACATCAGTGATAATGATCGAGTCTACAGCCATTTAGACTCGTAGGGTGAATGATCAAGTTTACTGGGCTGCAACGAGCCGTCAAAACACAGCAAACTTACGGTCCAAACACACTTTCATATCTGTATCAAATATATCATCCTACAAATATTCATTGTTTTGTTTCATTTTGGCTTCTATCAAACATATACCGAAAAAGATACCATTTTAAACGATATGTGATGTAGAAATACAGGGACGCTTTGGAAAATGCTTAAATCATTTATTTGGTTGTTTAGATTCGTTTGGTGTTCGGTCTGTATATAATCGAGTCTGGACCAGACAATCTATTAATCAACGGCATGAGCATCGATCTGTTGTGATACGACGACAACAGTTCTTTGACAAATATGAATGAAGCTTAACATTTATTGATCCATATGTATCTATCTGTATCTAGCTGCTGTTATCAGTTTTAGCAGCTTGTCATATGACAGGAAGTTATATTTATCAATACCGCCTGTGAACGCGCCTGTGCTTAACAATGGCAAGACCTCTATTCATTTGTGGACAACCACCGAGAAGAGAGTTTGATGAACACGATTGTTTTACAAATTTAAAACACACACAAAACGAACATTTTTAAAGTATGTTTCATAAACAATATAACAGAGAACAGTCAAAAGAGGAATGAAACGTAATTTCCATCACACTAGTGGTCGGTCTTTATCCGACATGAACTCCCCGTTGGAGTTCAAAATCTGTGTAGTAACCTATCGATGGGTTCTACAGAGGGCATGGATCAGATAGCAAGACATAGTTTCAGTGACTACTGTGTGTTTGGACAGTACTGCTGCAACTCAGAGAGCCACTCATCCCTTAAACAAGTTCGTGTAGAGAGCAGATACTGTTTGCCATTGTCATGAAAACTACTTGATTTGTTCCGTTTATATCCATATATCTATATTGACACCGTAGTGGAGGTGTAATCTCATCATGTTTAGTGACCTACTAACATACCGTACATTATTGATAACATTGACTGAATGCTTGAGGACAGGCTACGTACATGTCTTTGAATGGTGTTTAGAAGCGATACACATAAAGAAGGGAGTTTTATGGATGTCAACTTCTTTATTACAATGAACATCAGGTGATGAAGAAGCAAGGATTTAATCCGAAACGTTGTGCTCATCAGAATAAAAATGTTCACATCCATAAAACTCCGGTCCTTATGTGTATCTCTTCTAAATGCAGTAATTTCACCTGGTGAAGGAGTAAGGATAAACTCCAAAACGTTGTGTGGATCGGGTGGTCAGGCTCGCTCACTTGGTTGACACATGTCATCGTATCCCAATTGCGTGGATCGATGCTCATGCTGTTGATCACTGGAGTGTCTGGTCCAGACTCGATTATTTACAGACCACCGCCATATGGCAGGGGTATTGCTGAGTCCGACGTAAAACTAAGCTCATTCACTCATGAATGACAACGTTTTTCAAACACTCACCATCGTATATTTAAGCAATACCATATAGATAAATTATGTATATAAATGATGCTATTTTCGCCATAATGAAGTAATTGGATAGAACAAGTGAATGTGTTAATATTCAAAATAATTTATTTAAATTTTAATGCATGTTACAACAACTATGGCGATTTGACAAAGACTTGTTCTAGGTCGCCAACAATCATAAGCGTTCACCAAGAAGCGTTGTCGGTTCGGGATGGGTTTCTCGTGGGAGGTGTTGCTGCGGTTTCCTGTCTTCTTCGTTGATGACAACGACAGTGGAGGCATCAGTGTCATCCACGCGGTGAGATACACACAGGAACACCCTGTAACACGTGGATATCCATTGGTTATAATATTCATATAGCGGTTATCCTTGCAGGATTAATAATATATCATAGCAAATGTGATGGAATCTTAATTAGTCGTTTAAATTGGAAACAGACACACAAACAGACAGTGTTTATTCAGTAAAGAGGCCTTCGCCCATAATACAATCAGATGACAGTGTATTTCGTGGGTGCGCAATTTAACTTTGCAGCTCAACGTCCAGGAGTTTATCAATGTCTGTACATTATATAAGTATAGGCCAACATTGGATATGACATCATCATTTGTTGTATGCACATTAAATGAAACACCGAGAAAAGGTAGTGTTGGTCTAAATTAACGCTCATCACGTACCGCACGTGCATTTGTTTCAGTGTTCCAACTACTGCGCTTACCCCCTTGTAATATAAACCAATAATAGCGATTTGAAACTATGATCGTTTGTTAAACAACTTTTATCCTAAGATGAATAAAATTCTGAGATTCAAATGTTCATTTAACAAGGTAAAAATAGGAGGATTCGCAATCTTAATTTCACTTTATTTGATTTACTTTTTTGCTTAAAGTGAAATTCATCGGTACGTTTTCACTGCAAACAGACTATAGTGACAGAGAAGGTTCATATTTCTCAATCAATTCTGTCAGATAGGCAGGAGCTGTTTGATTGACACATTTATATGTCAAGGTGAGAATCTTGTTTTGGACTCGAGCTTGGACTGGGAGCCAGTGTAGGGAAGTTAGCACTGGTGTTATATGTGCACACTTTCTCGTTCGGGTCACGATCCTTGCTGCAGTGTTTTGGACCCGTTGGAGTTTCGCAAACTGTTCCTGGGTTAGATTTCCCAACAAGCTATTTGCATAATCAAGTCTTGTCAATACAAGTGTTCTTGCTAGCATATATGCTATATCAGTAGAGAGAAGATCTCTAATGGAACCAATATTCCTTAGATGAAAATAGCAAGAGTGACAGATTTTAGATATGTGATCATCCATTGATAGATTGTTGTCGAAAACCACACCAAGATTCCTGACACATTCCGAAACTGTAATCTCAGAGTCTCCTACTCGAACAGTCTTCACACCAGCAGCCAACCGTTTAGGCAGAGTTCCTGCAAGAAGAGCCTCCGTTTTGCCGTCATTTAGTTTCAGCTTGTGCATAGTCATCCAGGACTTGATGCTATCAGTGCACACTTCCAGTTCAGTGGCATGCATTTTGGGGTAGAAAACCTGGGTTGCCTGGGGATGCACGGCATCATTGAACAATGGAAAGAGCAACCATTTCTTTCGTGTTCCAAGTAAAAAGACAAAGTTAGGCAGGAGAAATGTTCCGATCATTTCAAGTCGGGCGCATATGAAAAGAGACATGCACACATGGGGTATGAAAATCTAAAATCTAGGCTGAAGAAGGAAGCAGTACCTACGATATTTATTTATACTACATCATTCCATGTCACAACTTACTTTTACAACTTATTTTTAACATAGATTAAATCAAGTCCGATGACGATGAAATAGGGTACCAGTCGAATTGCCCCAGCTACAAAATGCCCCAGCAAATTTTGTCAAATTGCCCCGGATATTTTGTCAAATTGCCCTAGGGGGGGTAGTCAAAATGCCCAATTTATTTTGTATGATTAAATATATGCCATAAATGCATAGTTTTTGTCAACTTTGATGTTATGTTCTTCATATAAAAGTTATATAATATATAGCTATGAGTTTACTAATGAAACATTTATCAGAAATACTACTTTGTAATAACTTTTATAAGAAGAACATAATATCAAATTGACAAAAAACTATGCATTTATGTATATATTTAATCATTTTAAAAAAAAAATGTGAGCAAATTAGGATCAATGACCAAATTTGCTGGGGTATTTTGTAGCTGGGGCAGTTCGCTATATATATATTATCAGTAAGAGATTTCTCATAATCTTGAAAATGTTTTGCTATAACGTTCGTTCCGGTTTGGAGCCATAAATGCTGCAGTCAACCCGAAAAATTTACGAATACAACGGTAAATCATGAAGTGCTAGTTACATTCATTGTTTTCTATTTTGTCCAATTCCGCACGTCGGCATCAGACTCGCTACTTATCGGTGGTGTTTGCCGTGAAAGTTGTTCTGTATTCTCATTGGCTGACAAGATGTCATTCTAAGGTTATGACCGAGCACCATAACTATTTACATAAGCAAAAACTGGGGAAACATACATTGTCCTGACTAGTTCTGCGTCGCTTATATTATCTCAGGTTGGGATATTGTACGGAAGCTTGATACGTTATTAATGGGGACAAGGATCCTAATTTTAATCAACAAAATAATTCCAGTATAATTTTTTGTAGCAGATAATTTCTATCTTCCCCAGTCTGAAGCATAATCCTTTTTTATAAATCCCAGACACCCTGCAATCACCCATTTGACACAAAAGGAACTGCAATCACATTTCACACAAATATTTTCTCAGGGACTGAGAATTTATTTATAGGGGTGGGTGCGCTGGTTGGACTGTATCGCATGTTGCTGACAAGTCATATTCCTGACAAATCATATGGTCTATTTTTAATATTATTTTAACATCAAGAGGTGCCTCTGTTTCGCTTGATTATTCTGCATTTTCACTGGAATACTGTTTTGCAAGATGTAAAATCGGAACGTTTTTATCCGGTCTAACATCCATTTCTGAAATGACATCAGGAACATCTTTTATTGCTTTAGAATCCATAGACTCTGTTAAGTTGTGAGGTAAAATCAAAGAGGAAGCTATCAGCAACAGGCACATATGACGTCATGTCACGTGATACCCCCACTGCTCATTAACTGTCGGGTGTTTCCGTAATAGGTGGAACTACGAGTACGTTTTTTGTGTGTTTTTATTGCAATTTTACAAACTTTTGGTTCAATTTTAAGCACGGAAGGTGACATTTAGAATTCCTTTACTCCTATGAAAAGTTTTGTTTTTGTTAGTATTCTCCTTTAAGTAGATCAGTACAAACTATGTCACCAATTTTTCTCTGAAAACCATTTAGCTATAGAGGCCTGCGATGCAAGACACGGCTGGGCCTTACTCCAGACAAGCTTGGGATTGACAGCTAATCCTTAATATCTATAAAATAAAACCGATTCAACAGGGGTACCATTATAGAACCATTTCTCATAATGACGAAGAGGCCCCCCATTTCAATAATCTTAGTTTTGTTTAAGTTAACTTTCATCCCCGTACTATTACATAAGTTTTCCCAAACAATTAATTTCTTTTGAAGTTAGTTAAAAGTGCCAGATAGTGCCGAAATGTCATCTGCAAACATAAGTGCACATAAATTTGGGAACAAATGATTAATGAAGACCTCCCCCGATTCTAATTTCTTATAAAGGTTATCAATAAATATATGAAATATCTGTGGGCTTAGAATACACCCCTGCCTTGTACCTACAAAACATTTAAAACAAGATGAAAGACTATGTTTAGTTTCTGACACAGGCTAAAGATTGGAATACATTGATTCAATAATATTATAAAACTTGCCAGATACTCCAGCCCTATGTAAAGAGGCTAAAAGAACATCATGTCTTAGTGTATCGAATGCCTTCGCAAATCCCACGAAGAGACAGTAGAATCTTCCCTTCGTTTTGCAGCAGTACCTTGGAATAAGAGCCATTTGATCCACAGTAAAGTAACCAGCTTTAAAACTTGCTTTGGCCTCATTTAATGTTATTTTCATCACACCAAATTTGTAGCCTTTTGTTCAGTACTAAGGCAAAAATCTTACAAAGGGTCTTAATGAGTGAAATGCCTCTGTAATTGTTTCGTCGTGTTTATTTCCTGATTTATGTAAAGGACATATTATGCTCTTGCCCCAGCTGTTTGGGAAGTGTCCTGCATTGAGAATATTATTACAAAGAAATGTAAGTGGTGTGATAATGTTATGTTGTGTTGCTTTAAGAAACTCTGTGGCAAGCCTATCTGGTCAAGGTGTCTTGTTATTTGTTAAGTTTGAAATCCTTGCTAATATGTCCTGTTCTGTTATTGGTTTGTTTAGTGTACATAAGAGTCCATGTTGGAAGTACTGCAGTGGGAGGTGTAGTCTGTTTGATTATCTGTACTGCGGAGCTCTATAAAGTGTGTTACCCACTGTTCATCTGTGATTTGGTTAGATAAACCCTGTGAACTCCGTTTTTCCTTAAGTATTTTCTAACATAATTTAGGGTCTTTTCTTTCCTCTACTAATCTATCTTTCTGTTTCCCAAAGTACTCGGTTGTTTTCTTTAAAAAGGTTTTCTTGAAGATGGATCTTAAATTTCTGAATAGAGAAATACCCGTTTTGTTGTCTCTATGTGACCTTAATGCTGTGTATCTCTGTTGTATAATGTTGTCCAGTTCATTGTCCCACCAGGGTACAGTCTCTTAGTGTGTTCTGCAGTTTGGTTGAACAGGTTTACAAAATATTGTATAGCCATGTCAATGTTACTATTTATCATGTTGGATAAACATTATTGTAGGTGTTTGTGAAGTTTGTAATGAAATTATTGTCAGTGTCCGTGATCCATAAAAACTTAAACCATTTAGTTGTTTCTGATTTTGCAGTGTTAGGTTCATCAGGGATGTTGTGCGTGTGATATGATGTGGATGCTTTGTCAGAGCTTTGTTTATGGATGTTGATGTCAAGTGAACAGTGTAATGGAAAGTGAAAGGACATGTCAAGTGTACCGACACCAAAATCTGTCATGTGAGGAAAAAAGAGAAGACGAGGCAATTATCGTCAACAACACTGAACCGGCTTATGAGTAATACATTCACCATTTATCCTTAAAAATCCTGTCATTAAGGATGTGAACACCGCATGTGCGACACATTTACACTAACTTAACACCGTAATTGTTATAAACTAAATTGTCTTTGGAATTTCTTGGCAAATCAAAATCATCACTAGGATAATCATCAGAGTCCTGGACAAAGTCTAGGCTATCAGAAAGTATATAATCTATAAAGTCGTTGATTCTTGCATTATGGTCACCACATAATAAGACGTGTTTATCTGGGTGATCAGAAGTAATGACGAAGAGATAGTCCTCTAGTGATGATATGCCATCAGTGCCACTCTGATTGTACATGGGCGAGTTTTCAGGTGATAGATATGTAAACACAGGTGCAGTGACCTGATCGCAACCGAGAACAGATGTTCTCAACAACAAGGCCACACAATTTTCAAAATATGTATAGAGCTGTTTTATAATATTATCATTCACTAAGTAATCACTTGTACAAACAGTAATACCGCAGCTGTAGCGACCTAAACGATGCAGTTGCAAATTGGAAACATATGGGTATTGCAAAAGTAGTCTCAATTGTTTCTATTCTCTCTGTAGATTATACTGTATACGTAAAAGTTACTTTTATCTTCGCGTAAGCTACGTTCATCTCCATATATTGCAGTGTAATATCGCAAATGAGATCGTGATATTGTGTTGTGAAATTAGTTGAGTATAGTCACAACACACATTCCATACACTTTAAGCAAGAATTATATAAATAATTAGTAGTATGTTGGTTGTCTATTTTCGTTTTACCTTTTACTATGAAGAGTAACTGTATTGAATGTTCTGATAGTACCTCTAAAAGTGAAAACTCGTGAAGGTCCGGGTTAGAATGAGCCTTCAGTAACCCATGCTTGTGGTAAGAGGCGACCAACGGGATCGGGTGGTCAGGCTCGCTGGCTTGGTTGACACATGTCATCGTTCCCACTTGTGTAGATCGATGCTCATGCTGTTGATCACTGGATTGTCTGGTCCTGACTCGTGTATTTACAGAACGCCGCCATATAGCTTGTGTATTGCTGAGTGCGGCGTAAAACTAAACTCACTCACTCACTCAAAAGGTGAAACAAATCGGTCAATAAGCCAGATTTTGCATAAAACAGACCTGTAACTATTGCCGACTACTCGAGAAAAGATGGTTACCAAGTCGATTAGTCAATAGATATCTACTTCTATGTCGATGGTAATATCGAACACGTAAATTGGAGTACCACCTTCGTAGAAGAAGAGTAACATCTACATAGATGTAAATAACATTTCGTGGTTGTTAAAAAAAGACTGGTACTAATTCTCTTCCAAACAAAATTCAGAATGCAGAATTACGTATTTAATAGTAAAGGGTAAAAACAACATATAGAAATAAGTTTATATGTTACATTAGAATATGGTGTGTACTCACAATACTATCACTCCTGACAAGAACTCGAATCCCGCACAGGCGAAAAAAGGCGAAGCCACGAAGCATCTCCACAGTGGCATTATAGATCTCGTTGAAAGCTGTAATCCCTACGGTCCCAGAGATGATGTTCACAAGTCCAATACCGGCAAACAGAGAACCTGGCAAATAACGTTCAGATATTACATACGTATTCACCGTATTACATATGTATTGATAATATTACCTTCTTATTCATAACATTAAGAGACGACTAATGGGATCGGTGGACAAGCTCGCTGACTTGTTTGACACATGTCATCGTATCCCAGTTGCGTAGATTGATACTCTTGCTGTTGATCACTGGATAGTCTGGTCCTGATTGGATTACTTACAGACCGCCGCTATATAGCTGGAATATTGATGAGTGCCGCGTTAAACAACAACAAATCAATCAATATCATTAATGCAGTAGCCTACGAAGAAAGAGTTCTTTCCAGGCTTCCGTTATGCACGTATCAGTTAATAACATATCACTGCTCAGACACCATCAAACATGTTGAGGAAACTATGCACGATAAATGTGGTTAAATCAATCTCATTGTCGGATTCAGTGAGACCTTCCCGTCTTTAAAGTTAGTTAATAATGTACTAAAAAACAATCTTGCTTCTTGAGGCCATTTTGGGAATCATTCCCTCTTGTTTGAAGTTATCTGTTTCCAGTTAATGTTTTGATTTCATTAGCTTAAATTAGTGTCTTTGAATGTTACACTGGAAATGGGGACTGCCACAGTAACGCTGTGCATGACCCTGTCCTTGAGCGTCTGTCTGTGAACTCACCCTGCATTTCAGGAGGAGCCATCCTCGACATGATAGCTCTCACTGTCGGTGGGAACGGGGAAGCAACACCATTGGGCACCACAACTACAACAAAGACATCCAACAATAATTAGCAAAAGCTGACATTACTGTCATATAGCACACAAAGTTTAAAGAACATCTTGTAAATCCAAACATATGTTATGCATGTTGTTATATGAATATTTCTATCCTTTTTTAAAACTTGTAGAAATGTAGGAAATCGCTTATTGTAATGATGACCTACATGAGAAAAATACGTAAAGTTTCGGGTTAGAATTGGTCTTCTGCAGCCGATCCTTGTCGTAAGAGACGACTAACGGTTTTGAGTGGTCAAGCTCGCTTGGTTGACGCATGTCATCGTGTCCCAATTGTGTAGATCTATACTCATGCTGTTGATCACTGGATTGTCTGGATCAGACTCGATTTTTTAAAGACCACCGCCACATAGCTGGAATATTGTTGAGTTTGGCGTTTAACAACAAACCAATCTACTTACATGAGAAAAGCATAAAATCCGTGCTGGCCAGGCCGATAAGGACATAGGCTCCTGCTTGTATGAAAGCTGTTATGATACCTATTACTGGGTCTGAGGTGCACAGATGGAGAAGTTTGATGACTGGAATCCCCAGCAATTGCATTCCAAGGCACATCGCCATATTGAAATACCCGATGAGCTCTGGTCCCCAACAGAAAGGCAGGTTTAGTTGAAAAAGATATTGAACAGTGGACACTCCTGCCCCGCAAAACATTGATAAAAAGTATGATGCAAGTATAAGCCAGAAAAGACCTCTCTTTGGTCCAAAATCTTTTGAAAAGTAGAATCCAAAGACATTTTTCACCGCCTTCACCGGAGATGGATATTGGGATCTTCTATCTGTGTTGATAGTTTCTGGGAGAAGAAAAATGACAAAGAGCACAGAGAGAAGCATGATTGATAAAGTAGTCACTGAGGGATAGAGGAATCCTGTGTCTTTGATGAAGTATCCAGTACTGGCTGAAGAAGCTGCGGCTGCCAGATAGGTTGTGAAATCTATCACAGCGATGCCAATTGTCCTGGAATTCTTAGGTGGTGTGTTGTCAGCCGTGTAGGCATAGCTAGCCAGAATCACACCATTGTATCCCCCTGTAATTCCTTCAAACACCTCACCAATGTACATGTATCTCAGATCTAGATTCCAGTAAATAACAATTGTTACAGATGCATACCTGATGCTCTCTCCAATTAAAGGTACTATAAAGAGGAATCGTCGACCAAGATAATCAGAATAGGCCCCCAAGAACATACAGCTAATTACAGCTAAGGAACTTCCGATGGCTGTCAGTATTGTTTGAAAGTCCGATGTCTTTTCCTGAACCCTTTCCTGTAACAGGTATCCTGGATCCGACTCATTGACGTAACACTTAGATGTTTGATTGAGGGTGTTGGTGCTGTTGTCGAACTCCTCATCGTAGTACCTCTGGTAAACATATTGTGTCACCAGCGGATTACGGATATTGACAGCCAAATGGAACACCAGAAACACAACGTTGGCCTTGAGTAGATTTCCCAGCTTCGACTTGTCACCTTCGTCCTTTCTTTCTAGTAGCGGTGTAGACTCCATGTTTGTCTGTATCATAGAAACAGGTGACTGTCAACACCACATGATTGTAGTCTCGTGTTGTGTTAGTACACTGACCTCTATCAACGTGGTGTCGCTGACATCAGTGATAAAGATCAAGTCTACAGCAAGTTGGACACACGCCTATATCACTCGTAGAGTGAATGATCTCTTTTTGGCGATATGCATAGCTGTTAGCTAATACGACAGACAGTGCGTTGTGTCGTCTGCGCCGTGTGAACTGAGAAGTAAGTCGCATAGCCATAGTCGCATATCTCTCGCTTTGCCAATCTAGGTCACAGGTCAGGCGTGTTCGCGTCAGCGATATATAAATATCCCACACTATTATGGTTGGGATATCTCTCTTCCACATTCAGGAGTCCACCAGTGGCCACAACGCTGTATTCGACGTCTACACTTACAGCTATATACTATTACTACAACGAGCGGGTAGTAACCGTCAACCACCCTGCCTGGCCGCTGTCGGAGGGTCTCGAAGGGTCTGTCTCACAACCCCTGAAGGACATTATTTTCCCTTTAGACTAAGGCTTAGTCTCTGAATATATATAATTTTGATAGTAACAAACAAGAAAATTTAAATTGAAAAGGAGTCCCAGGGAGACCAGAGATTCAGACTTAGGAAATCTAGACTTGCTCTATTTAGGGCTTTAGCACTGTAGATAGGGCATAATGTGGTTCAGGGATTTTGAGACAGACTATTTTCCCTTCTGCCCAGCCCTTTCTGCAATGCTAAAGCTCGAAATGAAGCAAGTCTAGATTTTCTAAGGTTCCGGCTCACACACTGGGACTCCTTTTCAAATATAATGGGAATATGTGTTCTATCAAAATTATATATACTACAAACAAAAAGTATTGGAACACCCTAAAATTTGATAGTCATATATAAACTTAAACGTGGTGGGGTTATTAATTCTCTAAGATAGATGCAAATTTTTGTGTGCTTAATGGGCACTATAAACGACATGTTGGAACATGCAGTGAAGCAACTGATTCAATATGCGTTGAGTTTGAGTGAAATGAAACATTGTCAAAAATAAGCTGCATGGGAAGTCTGTCTTCCACATTCACTAGGCTGCACCCTTGTTTTTCGCTGTTTTTGACAATGTTTCATTTCACTCAAACTCAACGAATATTGAATCAGTAGCTTCACTGCATGTTCCAACATGTCGTTTATAGTGCCCATTAAAACACACACAAAAAATGCATTTATCTTAGAGCATAAATAATCCCACCACGTTTAAGTTTATATATGACTATCAAATTTTAGGGTGTTCCCATACTTTTTGTTTGTATTATATAATCAGAGACTATATTATATATTGTAAATTTCGTCTAGGTCTCGACTAACAAAAGCATTACAAATTTACATTCACTGTCATATCATTACGGTACATGTTTGGTCAGGCTTTAGTTTCAAGCACCTCATCCGCAATGTTGACCATACTCTGATGCTTATTACACACAGCTGACCTACGCAACCTCTTGTAATATGGCAGTAGGAAACTGGGAGCTGAGCACTGACGTCCTTGTAACAAACTATCCATATCAATTAAGAAGTATCCGTCAGCAACATTCACAATTGAGTGAGTGAGTGAGTAAGTATGGTTTTACGCCGATTTCAGCAATATTCCAACAATATCTCGGCGGGTGACACCAGAAATGGGCTTCACATATTGTACCCATGTAGGGAATCGAACGCGGATCTTAACCACTAGGCTACCCCACCGCCCTTACTCGTAGAAGGTTGATCTTTCTTAAAGGTGAAACAACATGGAGGGACACGCGACATTTAATATATACTTTAAGTTACAGGGATGCTGCATTCATGCTATTTTTGAATGCATAAAATGCTTAACAAATAAATATGATCTTTTCGCAGTTACTAACGATGATTGTCATAATGACTAACCCAAAAGCATTAGGTTGGTGTCACGACAGATTTTACTATCAATGTTAGTGTGTCTGAGGTACCCAGTTACTATCTATGTTCGTGTGTCTGAGGTACCCAGTGCTATCAATGTTCGTGTGTCTGAGGTACCCAGTTACTATCTATGTTCGTGTGTCTGAGGTACCCAGTTACTATCAATGTTCGTGTGTCTGAGGTACCCAGTTCTGAGGTACCCAGTTACTATCTATGTTCGTGTCTGAGGTACCCAGTTACTATCAATGTTCGTGTGTCTGAGGTACCCAGTTACTATCAAAGTTCGTGTGTTTGAGGTACCCACTTGCTATCAATGTTCGTGTGTCTGAGGTACCCAGTTACTATCAAAGTTCGTGTGTCTGTGGAACCCAGTTACTATCAATGTTCGTGTGTCTGAGGTACCCAGTTATTATCGATGTTCGTATGTCTGCGGTACCCACTTAATATCAATATTCGTGTGTCTTAGGTACCCACTTGCTATCAATGTTCGTGTGTCTGAGGTGCCCACTTGCTATCAATGTTCGTGTGTCTGAGGTACCCAGTTACTATCAAAGTTCGTGTGTCTGTGGAACCCAGTTACTATCAATGTTCGTGTGTCTGAGGTACCCAGTTATTATCGATGTTCGTGTGTCTGCGGTACCCACTTACTATCAATATTCGTGTGTCTTAGGTACCCACTTGCTATCAATGTTCGTGTGTCTGAGGTACCCACTTGCTATCAATGTTCGTGTGTCTGAGGTACCCAGTTACTATCAATGTTCGTGTCTGAGGTACCCACTTGCTATCAATGTTCGTGTGTCTGAGGTACCCAGCTGCTATCAATGTTCGTGTGTCTGAGGTACCCAGTTACTATCAATGTTCGTGTGTCTGAGGTACCCACTTGCTATCTATGTTCGTGTGTCTGAGGTACCAACTTGCTATCAATGTTCGTGTGTCTGAGGTACCCAGTTGCTATCAATGTTCGTGTGAGGTACCTACTTGCTATCAATGTTATTGCGTGTCTGAGGTACCCACTTGCTATCTATGTTAGCGTGTCTGAGGTACCCAGTTACTATCAATGTCCGTGTATCTTCGGTACCCAGTTACTATCAATGTTCGCGTGTCTGAGTTACCCACTTGCTTTCTATGTTCGCGTGTCTGAGTTACCCAGTTGCTATCAATGTTCGTGTGTCTGAGGTACCAGTTGCTATCAATGTTCGTGTGTCTGAGGTACCCACTTGCTATCAATGTTCGTGTGTCTGAGGTACCCACTTGCTATCAATGTTCAATGTTCGTGTGTTCTGAGGCTATCCATGTGTCTGCGGTACTTGCTATCAATGTTCGTGTCTGAGGTATCACTTGCTATCAATGTTCGTGTGTCTGAGGTACCCAGTTGATATCAATGTTCGTGTGTCTGAGGTACCTATCAATGTTTGCTATCAATGTTCAATGTGTGTGAGGTACCCACTTGCTATCTATGTTAGCGTGTCTGAGGTACCCAGTTGCTATCAATGTCCGCGTATCTGCGGTACCCAGTTACTATCAATGTTCGCGTGTCTGAGTTACCCACTTGCTATCTATGTTCGCGTGTCTGAGTTACCCAGTTGCTTTCAATGTTCGTGTGTCTGAGTTACCCAGTTGCTATCAATGTTTGCTATCACCATGTTCAATGTTGTGTCTGAGGTACCCACTTGCTATCAATGTTCGTGTGTCTGAGGTACCCACTTGCTATCAATGTTCGTGTGTCTGAGGTACCCAGTTACTATCAATGTTCGTGTGTCTGAGGGATCCACTTGCTATCAATGTTAGTGTGTCTGAGGTACCAACTTGCTATCAATGTTCGTGTGTCTGAGGTAACCAGTTGCTATCAATGTTCTTGTGGCTAAAGTACCAAACTTTTCATGTCTAGATGTTACTATACATGTTCGTGTCTCGTCTCTGAGGTACTCAGTTGACCTTGCCTGTATGAATGATGAAGGTCAGATATCCTGGATCTCTAATAAAATGCAACACATAATTTGCTGTAATGTTGGTAGCAAACTGGACCAAAATCTTTTGACACTTTTCTCCGTTTTCACCTCGAAATGGGCATGAAAACCCCCGATCTGTCTGTCTTTGTCCCTCTATCTACGAGAAGATTGGAATATTCTTTCATAACATATCAATTAGATGTTGTTATAGGAAATCAGCAGTGCTTCCGAAAATAACTGGTAACTTTAGCAATTTACAATGTCGACAACTGTTTTGATGCATGTATGTTACAACACCTGCATCAAGTTTGTTGATTTTGTAAGCAAAAGTCTGACCTCTATGGTACTGCTTTTGAATGAATGATTGCATTGCTCATTCATAATTTTGATGACACATGTAAACATGAATGGATAGTTTTTAATTTAATTTTATTCATTCAAACATTATTATGTACATGACATATTTGCATAGTATCGGTGGTGGACGAATGACATCGTTGGCTCAATGCCTGAAGTGTTCTTCACATTTCAGTGCTCTGTGCCAGGTTGCTTTGGGAAGACTGTTGAGGCCATTCCTTGTCCTGTATTGTCACAGTGTCCTCGTGTTCAATACGCCTGTTGTGCTTATATGTCAAACATGCAAACAATCTGAAGGAAAAGATAAAATAGCTTATTAATGTCGTATTCAGATGTCTGTGATACCACATCGATTATAGTGGAGTCTTATATCTCAATATACACATTTATGTTTTGTGTCTCTGGGAACAAGGACGTTGGGGGTAATCTAGTGGTTGAAGCGTTCGCTCGTTACGCTGAAGACCTGGATTCGATTCCGTGCATGTGTACTACTTGAATGTGAAACCCATTTCTATGTCCCCCGCCGTGATATTTGCTGGAATATTGCTAAAGGTGGTGTAAAATCTTACTCACTCACTCAGTTGGAACAATATTTTAGTAATATCGCCATGTGGTATCTATCTATCCTATTGCCGGCAAACCAAGTACGGCGCAAGTCAGCATTTTATCAATTTAGTGAAATAGAACACGGGTATAGAGCTACTGAAGGATCAAAATCAGATCATAGTGGGGCTCGAATACGTTATCATCGGATCCTGGCGCAGCTAAGGGACAGTATTACGCAAAAGGTATTTCGGCTGGAGACATACTCACATCAATAGCACAAATGCAACTAGATGAGTGCTGGCGAAGACAAGGTAGATAAAACCTCGCATAAAGTTCATGGTGGCCTCGTAGATGAAAGCAAACGAAGGGCTGAGGATCAACCCAGCCACGTGGTCAGCCAGGGTGAGACTTGTAAACAGAGATCCTGAAACACACGTTTGTTCATTCAACATCCACTTTGACACCATTAGATAACCTACACTCTGGGAAATAAAAACATAAGAACATATGACCACATAATATACCATTAAAAAAAAGTAGGGGATATTCCATTTTGCGAGCATACCACTGGTCAATGCCAATGCATGTGAGAAAACGTAATATATATCCATACAGATGAAACATTTCCAATGGAATGGAATAAATTGTCACATTTTCCCTTAATTTCTCTTCATCATCTGTTTCCTCCTTGGCTTCATCATTTGAATTTTATCAATCTTGTAATCCAATACCCCCTTCTGTTTTTGAATGGTATATAACAACACATACAAAACCAAAACAAAACCCCGAACATTATCAGAGTGTCAGCAATCCGGAAGAGTTATTTTCAATATTGAAATCTGAAGTGTCAAAGCGACCGAATAAAGTGTTTGTTTTGAGTTTGTTCTGGATGTTTTTGAAGTGTTACAGAATTTACGCATTACTGATGATACCTTATTGGAAAGTATTGTTATAATACCACCAGCTCTGTGCTTGGTCCGATTTTGGTTTCACTGTACATTCTTCCAATGGGCAATATCATCCGAAGTCACAACATAAAATTCCATGGTTATGCAGATGATAACCAACTCTACATAGGAATTACACCAGCTAATGTTGAACACGCAAAAGATGTTATGGAGAGCTGTGTCGCTAACATCAAGATATGGATGACAAACAACTTTCTGAAACTCAACGACGACAAATCTGAGTTCATGATCATTGGAACTAGGCAGCAGCTTTGCAAAATAGGCGAGTGTAGTCTCACAGTTGAAGATCAGTCTATCTGCCCTGTGCCCCAGGTGAAGAATCTGGGTGTTGTTTTCCGTTCTTCAATGTCACCAGAATCACAAGCCCTAACAGCAGCAAGATCAGCAACCTTTCATCTCCGCCGAATAGGAAAAATCCGCCGCTATTTGGACATTGACACAACCAAAATTTTAGTTCAGTCATACGTCATCTCACGCCTAGACTACTGTGAACTCCCTCGTGTCAGAGCAGCAGCAATCCAACATATCCAGCTTGTACAAAACAGAGCTGCCAGGATCATAACCAGGACAAAATGTCAGGAACACATCACCCCTGTGCTGAGGTCGTTGCACCGGCTCCCAGTAAAGAGGAGAATACGGTACAAAATAATTTGCATCACCTACTCAACCCTCTATGACATCAATTCACCAGCTTACCTCAAAGGTATAATCGAAATCTATCGTCCAACTCGTGTCTTGAGGTCTGAGAAATGAGGCAGCCTGAAAATGCCAGCTACAAAAACATCCATGGGAGACAGAGCTAGCAAGTTGAACTGAGATCAGTATCTTCCCTGGAAGCATTTAGGGGCCAACTAAAAACTACCTACTAAGTTTCTCCACTTTCTCTGCACAGCGCCACTGAGCAGCACTGGTTGGACATTAGGCGCTAAACAAATGCATTATTATTATTATTATATTAACATTTGAATACCAATTCATCTGTCGTTGGTGGAAATGAACAAGGATGTCGCATTGAACAATGCATTTAATGGGTAGACTCTGCATCGCCCAAGCCATGCTTGACTGTCACAGCTGATGACAATCGTAATATTTGGCAAATTTGGGGATGGTTAGATCGGAAATTTGTTATTCCTGCAAGGATGATCTTTTCCTTACTGTCAACTGACAGCCATGAGACCATTCGAAAAGGTGTGAAACGTTGTTTGTTACCGGAAGTAGTAAGGTCTCGCCAAGTCCCGCGACCTACTTACAGGCCCTATTGATGTGTGCTGATGTGTGGTACGCATATATCACTGGTATCTCAGGATCTGGAGCATTCAATGTCCTTCACTTACGGCACACAATGAACGCAGCCGACTATAAAACTATAGATAGTCTTAACTATCCCCAGAAACCGTTTGGTGTAAAGCAGAAAATAGCTGTGAAAAATACATGAATGGATCACTAAAATGACAATGACACCAGGTGTTCGCGAACGTTTTAGGGAATACATCTTACAATGAAAGTATTTATACGAAATTGTGAAACTCAGCACATACCTTGGCTGTCTTTCGGGGCCATTCTGGACATTATTGCTCTGATCACTGGTACGGCAGCAAAAGAAAAGGCTCCCGCCATTGCATCTTGAATTTAGAAACTGGAAATCAACTTGGGACAAAGTTAAGAATATGCTAAAACGTTTATACCCGCCTTATAGCTGGAATATTACTGAGTGCGGTATTAAACAACAAACAAAATAAATTAAACGTTTATATTATATACAGTTTCATACCAACTGAACATTTCAAAATGTGAAGTTATTTCTTACATCCATACATCATCCAGTCTGTTGTTGCAAAGCCATGCAAAAGGTCGGCAACTGTGACGGTAAAGGCACTGAGGACGCCAATGACCTCGTCCCCTATACAGTAATGCAGGACCTTGATCATCGGCACACCGAGAACCTGGGTCACCATCGAAGATGCCATTGTGAAGTAGCCAATCTTTTCCGGCGTCCAACAGAACGGTAGGTTCAACATAAACAAAGTGTTTATATTGAGTTGTCCATTAACACTCATCTGGGAGAAGAAGTAGCACATTAGACCCAACCAGAAAAGACTCCGTACCCGACAGGTATTGTCAAACAGGTACATTCCTACCACGTCCCTTATCCCCTGGGTAAGGTTCACCTTCGATTTGTGGGTCTGTTTGAGAGAATGTTTACTCTCTCTTATGAAAAAGACTACAACAAGAATGAGCACCAGCATGATGGCAGCAGACACGAGGGATGGGTAGAAATACCCAATGTCCTGTATGAAGAACCCTGTGGCAGCACTGGTTCCAGCATACGCAATGTTCCTGGTTGTGTCTATGACTGCTATAGCTATTGTCCGAGACTTTCGGGGTGGCGTATTGTCTGCGGCATAAGCATAACTAGCAAGAAGTATACCGTTACTCGTACTGCCCAATCCACAGAGAACTTCCCCGATGTAGTACCAATTCAGATCCAGTTCCCAATGGATGATGGCCGTGAGCAGTCCACTCCTCAGCATGTCGCCTATGGCTGGTAAAATGAACACGACTTTCCTGCCGAAATAATCAGAATACGATCCAAGAACTAGAGATCCAAAAAATGCTGCAGCTTTATTAACGAGGGAAAAGTACATCTGTTGGTTTGCTGTCGCTTTCTGGGCCATTTCCTGAAGAATGTAGCCTTCGGATGTTTTGTTGGTGAAACAGGTAACGTTGGCTGGACTGAAACTGTCACCTGTGTTGTTGCCGAATACTTCCAACGACACCCGTTTATAGAGGTACTGGTCGAGAGTCGGGGCATGGAAGGCTGACGCAATATTGTACAGAACAGCTACAATGTTTCCCATCACTAAGTTCCTGATATTCAGGAGGGATTCCTCCTTCCTGGGTTTTTGTAGAAGTGGTTTCGTCTCCATTGTAAATAGTGGTGAATGTAGTTGTTCTGAGGTATGGGATTAATAGATTGCTTACATGACACACATAGAAACTATGCCCGTATTGATAACAATGTGTCTCGTGACAACATCCCACACGACAGTACAAAAGATAATGAGCTGATCGGCCCCCGTGATCTCGAGAAACGAACGCCTCTTTTGAAGGTGAAGGTCGATGGTGTCGTCACACCTTGAGACGTTAAAGATGGTAGCTGTTGTCCAACGCGGCCTTGCCTACACCGTAGCAGGAAACGTTGTGTGCATACGCAATGCGCATGTTCCGTACACACCATATCAATCCGTGTACTGGTATAAGTATACTCAGCAGCAGAAAAACCCGTCAGTACGAATTCAAAATAAGATAGGCACTGTAATCAAATCATTACAGAAATGGACATAATAAGCGGATCAAAAACATTTTTTGTGTACAATATCCTGACACATCAATGAATAACTCAGCACAGTTCAAAGACATAACGTGAATGTTTGCAGTCCGTTCAGACTCTTGACTTCAGTATCTAGTGTGACCACCACGAGCGGCAATAACTGCAGCACAGCGTCTATGCATGGAGTGCACCAATCGATTGATGAAGGCCATTGGCACCTGGAACCACACTCTGGCGCAATAAATCAGCTGTGTTCGGCCTTGGTATGACATTATTCAGTCTCCTCTGAATTTCATCCCAAAGATGTTCAATTGGGTTTAAATCAGGACTAAGGGCTGGCCACTGCATAATGTTGACACCGTTCTGCTGTAGGAAGTCCCGTGTAGCTCTGGCAGTATGGGCCCTGGCGTTATCATGCTGGAAAATGTTGTTCCGGTGACGTGCGAAATGTGGTATGACGTGGGGTCTGAGAGCTTGGTCGATGTAGCGCACCGCTGTGATGCCGCCTCCTCTCCCTGGACCAAGGTTCTGGAACACCACAGAACCCACTCTCTGGTTCAGGTCTATTCCACCCCATACCATGATGCTTGCACCTCCCCATGAGTCTCTTTCCATAACACATTGGTCTGAGTAACGCTGGCCACGTCGTCGCCATATTCTTGTTCTGCCATCTGCAGTTGATACGCAGTACCGACTCTCATCTGTGAACAGAACAGTTCTCCATTGCCTGTATCGCCAGTTTTGGTGTTGTAGAGCAAACTGTAGACGTTCACGCCGATGACGAGGGGTGAGGATAGGTCCACGGTAAGGTCTACGGCAATGGGGGTTCCCGCTGTTAAGACGTCGGCGTACTGTATCAGTACTGATTGGTCTTCCGTGTGTTCCTACTGTCTGGCGTGCTGTTTCGGATGCCGGCATGAAGAGATTCTGTACATGCTGTCGCACAACATGGCGGTCTTGTCATCTTGTGGTCACCCTTGGTCTGCCAGTACGGGGATGCCATTTGGGATGTTGGTGGCCCGGAACAATTGCTGCAGCCTGAAGATGGTCCGAACGTTGACCTGGAAGTGATTGGCAACGGCTTGTGCAGTGTGGACAGCTTTAAGTCTTCCTAGCGCCTGGTTCCTCTAAGCTGTCGTGAGTTGCGGCATCCTGCTGACGTTGTAATGTGAATGTTTCAACCAGGTTTGGGGGTGCATTTTATAGGGCTGGTCCTTGTGAACTGCACGTGCAGCATGAGTTGCATGAAAAACATGGAGAACACCGTACCGTCTCCGAGATCAGGTTGCGTTTTTGAGACCATTTTGAGTTTGGGAAGGAATGTCTTTGCTCAGGTAAAGTTGGATATGTTGTCAAAAATATACAGTCAAAACATTAAATGAGTATACAGTTATCCGTTTCTGCGAAGGAAAATTCCAAACTGACGTTTCTTTTGCTGCTTAGTATATATATCTTCATAATACATTGCCCCTGGTATGTTATGACGTCCAGATACGCAGCGTTATCACATCACAACTATGCGTATGAAACTCTTGGCAATAAGTTAATGATAACGACAATGCACCAGAGTGAGTGAGTGAGGGAGGGAGGGAGAGAGAGATTGATTGATTGAGTGAGTGAATTTAGTTTTACGCCACTTTTAGCAATGTTCCAGCAATATCAAGGCGGGGGACACCAGAAATGGGCTTCATACATTGTACTCATGTAGGGAATCGTACACGGGTCTTCGGCTTGACGAGCGAACGTTTTAACCCCACCGCCCATATGTACCAGAGACAACAGCAGCAAAAATATTTATTTACAGTAATTTAACTGTACTCCTGTAACTCGTATGAATCTTATTTCAATGAAACTCCCGAGCCAAAATCCCCGCTCAGAATTTGTAGCGGTTACTCACCAATTTTCTTGGTTATTTCACACTATACCCAAACGACTTGAACCAAAACATGGCACATGTCAGTGTGCTTATCGCCATTCTTTCGGAGATACTTACACCTTACTGTCATAATGAATTTACGTACATCTATTCATCGCAAACAGGATTGTGTCGTGCCCGTTCGCCCTTGACCACCTTGGTCTTAACCTGCCCCGCACTGAAAAGAGTCAGCGATCTGATGGGGCATATTTTATTTATAGCCAATGATCTCCCTTGCTCATTTTAGTGCGGGGCAGGTTAAGGTCAAGGTCGTCAATGGCGAACGGGCACGACACAAACCTAATACTGTTTTCATTAGCTTTCACCAAGGACGTATATTCACAGGATTGGAAGCCTTAGGCGATGTGCGCCGCATAAGCTGACCGTGTTCATTGATAACGAGTGATAACGTTCCCCAGCCGCGACTCGCGATGAGTTAACTTTTGACCATCTTGCGCTTGCGCAATGCTTTCCTTACTTACCAAAACATCCGGATAACGCAGCTGTCAGAAGTTTTCTCGACGCAAAACGTCATGTGTGTGTGCATGTCACACGTTCTATAGTTGCATTGCTCATTCACGCATCTATGTAATATAAGCGCGATCGTTATATATCTACCAACACATACAATGTCAGATTACTTGTATTGGGACGAATCCGATGTCGATTTATCGGCAATGTTGGGTGAATGGACAGAGTACGAATTAGACTTCAGCTCGGATTCATGGTCAGATGACGAAGATAAATCTACCGAACGATCTAAGACCAAGACAAAAAACACAGACACATCTTCCGTAAAGAAGACATGCTACCAGTGTCCACTGTGCCCCAAACAGTATTTGTCCGTGTCAGGGTTCAGTGTTCCTGTCGTCAACAAACTCAAACGACCCGGTGTAATAGGTGAGAGTACTAATATGGTGAATATTTCCAGATAGGTGATGGTCAGACTAAATGCAGTCATATTGATCCAAATTAAGGCCACAGCATATTCACTGAATAAAATTTTTTTTGAGCACAGATCATGGTTAATTAAAGGTGTTTATAGGTAATGCTTAACAAAAAAAATAATAATAAGGCACCGAACCATCTCTGCTGCATTGAATGTTAATCTGTAAAAAAATGTTTTGTTTTTTTTAATAATAATTACACGTTACCTACTGTTATCTGTACATACAGTTTTAATCAGCAACTGGAGAATAGCAATATTAATATAATTAATTTTACTCCAGTCAGTCAGCACAAGGTGTCAGACACACAGAAAGTTGGTGATATTGCTGCTACACCTGTCTACAACAAGGGTGTCACAAACACATCAAGCAGCATAGCAACCTTGACTGACAAGTCATTTGCACAACTGCTTGAGTCTGCGGTCTCCGAAGTGTGCAACAACCCAAACCACAATTCGATCACATCAAAATCCTGAGGTATCATGATTGAGATCAGCAAAGCAGTGATTTCTTCACCTGTCACAATGCAACATCTCGAAACATTAATTAAACCACCATTACTGGATACATTGGCAGTTTTAGGCAAGACAAGCTCTTTCCCGTCAGACAAGGAATTAATGTTTAGTAAATTTCATGCAATGAGGACAAACTTTAAATTTTGTGCCAATTTAAGATCTGTGATCATGAAAGTTTCAAAACAGACAGAAATGCATGTTCACCTCTTTAGTCAGGGTCTGCTGGATGACCTCCTCAGATGCGCTGTTAACAATTTTACTAAAAGTCTGCAGAAGTAAACAGAGAAGTCTGCAGAATCATTTACAGACCAAGACAATTCTGTGCTCTTCTACATATCAGGATATTTGATTTATGCCATGGAGAAAATTTCGAAAAAGAATGGAAATGCAGCCTCTGCATTAATTCTGAAAAACCTTTGAGCCTCATCTACTGAGATGTCTCCTGATTTTGTAACCAAGTTAAAAAAGTGGACTCTGAAGGTTGAATCGTGGTGGACTGAAAGACTGAGGTGATATCTTTTTCTTTCTGGTCCGAAAAATTGAGACAATATGCAGACAGGCATCTAATTTATATGATCGCAACACTGATTCAAAAGACAGCACTGAAAGAGACAATCATGCAAGACATCACGGTTTCATACTACTGGGACAAGCTAACTGATTCTGAGGATAAATTAAAAACAGCAATCTTAGAGAACATTGTGGATCTATTCCTAAGACTCCGTGAAAGGGCCGTTGCAAAACACGTGCCAAACCCAGACGGAAAATGCCAAATCAGTTTTGAAAGGAAAGAAATCCCAGTCTCTGAGAAAACGATTGAGACCTTACAATGATTAACATGATAAATATGACATTTTCATTTATCTGGGATTTTTTATTATTAGGTGATTTGTGTCCCTTTATTTATTACAAAAACATTATGTCAGATACATATTTTTTGTGGAGATGTAAATCCATTTGTTCCTATTTAACCGTGCAAAGTCAATACATGTTTAACACTGAATGGAAAGTATCTCAGTTCACTGTTTCTGATCATCACTATGTGACAAACAGACAGGCAAACAGACAGATGGTTTAATTCAGCAAAAGACCTCCAGCAAAAAATACAAACTTCATCACAATTATGTACACAATGTCCACTTACGTTTTTCTTGTTTTATTTACATGGTACAAAAATAGCCATATTACATCACTGTTTATCACTGCAGCAAAGTTATTA